AGGGCAGGGCCGCGCTCGCCCGGGCCGCAGAGTGAGTCCGGCGCCCCCGCTGCTCCGCGCGCCCAGGCCCAGGCCCAGGCCCAGGCGCGGGCGGGCTGGGAGAGGGAAGGGGCTGCGGAGCCCCAGCACCGCTGTGCCGGGCGCGCTGGCGGCTGCCCGTCCCGCGGGGTGACTCAGCGATCTCCAGGCGCGTTTTGGCGGGCGCCCGGAGCTGCGACAGAGCGGGCTGGGGCGGCCTTCAGGGGCCCCAGTTGTTTGGGGGAAGGGCGGGGCGGACCCGGACACCGGAGAGAGCGGGGGCCCCGGAGCTTGGACCTTGGCCGGACTTTCCAACTGGGTCCGGCCGGACGGGCTTGGAGTTTGGGGGAGACTTAGAGAAAGTTCAGTGGACCCAGCTCTCTCCAGGGCCTTGCAATGACTCTGGGACCTGCAGTTGCCCCCTGGCGCTGGGCGGGTAGGAGGAGACCAGGATAGGGTCACTGGCCTTCAAAGAGGTAAGATTGCCCGTGACGCAAGATCCAGGCTGTTAAATCTTTACCTTCTGAGGTTTCCTGACAGGCAGGTGGGGTCAGGGACCTGCGGCGGTCACTGGCCTGGCCCCCTTGGATGTTTGGTGGGAACCTTTGATGACTTTCCTTAAATTGAACCGTTTCTGAGGGCCAGCCCTTCCCGGTGTTTCATATACATAAACTTTTCATCCTCGCAACACTGTGAAGTCACAATTATAATTCCCATTTCTCATTAAAAACAAAAAACCGAGATCGGAGGGGTTTGCCGAAAGCCGCACAACTTCCACGTGGTGGAGCTGGGGTTCGTGCTCAGCCTATCTGACTGCAGTCTGACCACTGCCTTTTCCCAGGTTTACACTTCCAGTGTCAGACGGGGAGAAGCTGGGACCCAGCCTCAGCAACCAGTTCTCTGGGAAAATGAGATTTGTTTTTTCACTTTGTTCAGTGCAACAAAACCTTTGCTGAAGACTTGCTTTGCACTAAGGGAGAGAAAGAGGAAAGCAGAAGCCACACTAATAGTAGCAGGAGATCATGCTGCTATAGCACTGTGCCAGGCTCAAGGACAGGTGTCCTGTGTCTGGGGCTCACAGTTGGCGAGGTGCTGCCACAGGGTGTTCTGGGAAATGCCAGCAGCCATCCCGTGGCTTGCACATACAGATGCTGCATACATGTTGGCTGCACTGAATTAAATGGCAAGGACCAGGAGGTATAGCTGCACTAATGGGAAAAGTATCCCATTCCCACCAGCCACTTCTCCATATTGAATTGCCTTGATCTTATCTTTCCTGGCAAAGTCCAAGTATGAGAGTTTTCTATTTCATGGACCCCAAGGACAGGAAGAGATGCAAATGGTTACTGAATCCAAGCCCCATTTGATGTAGGAAGCCCCCACCCCACTGGCCTTTCCTGCAGTTGGCCACCTGCTAGGCCACCTGAGGCCCCTCTGTGTGAAAAAGCTATTCTTTATGTTGAGCTGAGAGCTGTCCCATGACTGTCCCCCTTTTATTTTAGGCTCTGCTCTGGGGCCCTCAGCCCTGTCAGCTTCCTCTGCTCTGTGACAGCCCTTTACCCTTCAGCCACTCTCTCAGGACAGTTCTGAGGCTGCCCATGCCTGACCCTGACTCTCCTCAGCCAGTTCCGGCAGCCTGAGGCCAGAGCAAGCAGAAGGCAATGTTTCCCAGCTCTGAGAGGGGTGCTGGGGGCTCCCCACTTCTGAGTGGCTTTCCTTTCCCTCCAGCTGTGAGGTGGAGCAGTGGGATTCAGATGAGCCCATCCCCAGTGAGGAGCTGGAGCGAGGTTTGGCGGGGGCCCACGGCCTGCTGTGCCTCCTCTCTGACCGCGTGGACAAGAGGCTCCTGGATGCGGCAGGTGCGTGCACTGGGCAGGCCCCGTGGGGCACATCAGCTCTGTGCTCTGGCTCCGTGGGCAGATCTGCAGTGCTTTCTCTGGGTTCTGAGGGCATTCCCAGCCACACTAGGCCAGAGAGAGCAGCTGTTTGCAGCTCCTCCTGGCGCACCAATTCCCCTCCCTGCTGTGCATCCCTGGGGGAGGCCTAGAAGGGTAAAGACTCCTAGGAGGGGTATAGGGGAGAGTACCCTAGCCCCTGAGTCCTCCTCCATCCCTGCCACAGCCCAGCTTTGTGACCCCGAGCAAGGCCCTGCCCCTACTGCATCTGTGTAGAGCATGAGGTGGGACCTGGCTCAGTGCCACCCACTAGCAGGCATCCAGGATGTGTTTCCCGTTCCCAGCCATGGGTCTCAGTCCTGGGGCAGGTAAACATCACCTTGTGAGTTTGTTGTCGTGACAATTTTGAGGACAGTTCAAACTCAGAGGCTGCTGGATGGGGAGGGACCCTTGTGGGTTAGTACCAAGCCAACCCTTGCCCAGACCTTGGCCCAGAAGCTTTCTGCCGTCCTGCTCAGAAGAGAGGGTGTGAGATGGTCATGCTTCAGGCTCCTTCTTGGCACTCTTGGAGGTGTCCATTGGGGACGCTCAATGGGTGGACAGTCCCGTGATCTCAGAGGCCTGAGGCAGACCTTGGCTCTGCTCATGACTGGCCAGGCCACTTTGCCTCCCTGAGCCACAGTGTCTGTACCTGTCAGAGAGTTGTTGGGTGTTCTAACTAAGGAACAGAGACGTCAGCCTTTTCTCTTATTCTAAGAAAATAATAATAAGCAGGTGTCTCGTCCCCACGTTAGTTCCTGGTGTGATGGCTTTGAATTCCACAAGGAAAGAGATGAACGATGCCTTTTCTGTACAACAGGAGCCAGTCTCAAAGTCATCAGCACACTGTCCGTGGGCGTGGACCACTTGGCTTTGGATGAAATAAAGAAGCGGTAAGTGCAGCTTGGGCTTCGGAAGGGGTCCTGGGGTGGGGGCGGCTACCAGAGAGGGGGGAAGAGCTGTTTGCTTTCACTTACTCTCCCTCAACCATTCAGTGAAAATGTGAGATGGCTGATAAACCTGTCCACATGTGCACAGGTCAGTTAGAATAAACCTGACAGGTCAGAAACAGTGTGTGACCTCTCTCTAGGTATTATTCTTTCATGTTCATTATCTGTTTTAATCTCTACTACAACCCCATGAAGTAGAAAAGGCAAGTATTATTATTTCCTGTTCAGATGAGGAAACTCAGAAAAGTTAAGTAGTTACTTGCCCAGACCTTGAACCCTGGTCTTCCATCTTCATATCCTTCCCAAAGTGGGCGATAATTGAAATAGGAATGGGTACTGACCATCCTGAGTCCATTTCTGAGCTTCCTGGCAGGCAGAGCAGAAAGGGAGCAAAGTAACATCATGGAAATCTCCCAGCAGTGAAGGTGCTTGAGGCTGATGTTACCACTGGATGTTTGATTCGTAGTGGGATCCGAGTGGGCTACACTCCAGATGTCCTGACAGACACCACCGCTGAACTTGCTGTCTCTCTGCTACTCACCACCTGCCGCCGGTTGCCCGAGGCCATCGAGGAAGTGAAGAAGTGAGTGAACACCTGGCGGGAAAGACAACTCTGCTCAGCAGATGGTTCCTGAGCACCATTGTCAGCCTGGCCCAGATGTGGTCTCTGTCCCCGGGTGTGCCTTATCTAGCAAGGGGGGACAGATTCAGCTAGAACAATGAAAGCATAATGAAAAGGAACAGTAACAGGGCACAAAGGGAAATCAGGAGGGAAGAGGAAAGGGAGGGACAAATAAATTCTGCTTATTGATGAGGGAGTAGTGGAGGAGTGTGGATCAGGGAGGGCTTCCTAGAAGAAGTAGCAGGTAGGTGTTCTTTTGAGCACTGAGTTCACTGTCCCTTATCTGTGGTGCTAAAATCCAAAAAGCTCTGAGAACTGAAAATCGTTTCATAAGTCTTTTAGGAGCAAAACCTGACCATACTAACACGATGCTATTTATGGTTTTTATTTCTCCCACTCAGTGTGAATATTCGTCTGTTTTGCTGCAGGTATACCACTGTGTTTGAAACAGGGTGCCTCCCCAGACAGTGCTGGGGGTGATAAGTAGAATAAACCATATGCACCATACTTCCTTTCTAAAAACCAAACAATTTGAAGTCTGGCCTGAGGCTTTCAGATCAGGGCTTTTGGTCTCTGTATCAGGAGTTGGAGAAGGCATTCTGGTGCCTGGACTGGTGTGAGCAAAGGTGGGAGGTGTGCAAACGCAGCCTTGAGAGCCTGGCCCCTGGCATGGGGTGGGCACAGACTGGACAGTGTAGAATGTCCTGCTCATCGTCCTGTTCAGGGAGCCAGCACCTTCACTGGAGGTGGCTCAAGGCAGGCTCCATTCTCTTGTCCACCCAGGACAACAGGCAGTGGGCCTGGTGGCTCTACTTTTTGTTGCTGCCCTGGAGTGCCGAGAGAACTTGTTTTGGAAATTCAAATCCTGAGTTCCCACCTCTCCTCTGGCTGTGTGACCTCAGGCAGGTCACCCTTTCTGGTCTCAGTTTCCCCATCTGCAGAATGGGATAGTGCCTTTAAGACCCCTTCCAGACCTCGATTCCTGTGTCCCTGATGGCTCTAAAGGAGGAGTCACTCCTGCTGCTTATCTGCAGTGCTGAGTGACTGTGGGTATAACTCATCCCACCCTCTGTCCTTTGGCCTGGAGGGCAATTTTAGACCTTGGACCACAGCCAGGGGTGCTGGGTCTGCAAGTTCCCGGTGGGCCCTCATCTTTGGCCTCTCACCTGCCCCCTCCCTCCCCACAGTGGCGGCTGGACCTCGTGGAAGCCCCTGTGGATGTGTGGCTACGGACTCACGCAGAGCACTGTTGGCATCATCGGGCTGGGACGCATAGGTGAGGCTCCCACCTGCCCGCTTGCCCGCCCCAGGTTCTCAGGCTGTGTTTGAGTCCCTAGTGTTACGTGTCTGAATGCTGAAAATCCTTCTTTGGAAAGGGTTGCCTTGACCACATGCTATCAGGGCACTTTGCATGCAGTAGGGATCTCTCTAATGAGAAGATTCAGTTTCATAAAACACAGGTAAATGAATAAATAAAATTAGTTCTTAAGAACTTACTGGGTGATAGAAGCAAGTTGTTAAGAGCCAGGATTCTTTATGATTACAGCTCCATAAAGACCAGAAGGCCCCAAGTGCTGGATCTTTAGCAGTGGCTTACTGTGGGAGAGCCCCTACCTCCCCGGCCTGTGTTTCATTTGACCTGTGAAGCCTTAACTCAGGGACTACAGGACTCAGTGGGCAGAGTTTACCCGCAATTCAGCTATTTTTCTTCCAGTGGCCCCTATTTGGAGAAGTCTGGCAGAAAGGCTTAGGCTCAGCCAAGCATCTGTCACTGGTTCTCTGTCTCGCTGTCTGGTGTAGGGGGAGAGTGGGGGTAGAGTGGATAACTGTCCGGCCAGCTAGCAGCCCCGCCTCTCAGAGGAGAGTTGCTTGGAGGAACCCCCAACAGTTTTGGGGCATGTTCTGCGTCTGAACATCAGCTGCCCAAGCCGGTCTCAGCAGCAGCATACATAAAAAGGTATTGTAGGTTTGGGGTGAGTTGGCAGTTTGGTAATGCCATCAAAAAGTCAAATGAGGTCTGGGACTGAATGAACAGAAGCAAGGGGTCCAGAAGGACGGAGGGGACTGCTTGCCCAGGCATCTGGGATGCCAGGCCCAGTTTTCTGAGGTTAGCAAATGGCCCTCGAGTTGGCTGGGGTGATGTGAGGACAGCACAAACCAGTAACAGCCACATAGGAGCTGTGGTGTGGCCTCCAGATCCCTGCGGGCAGTGTGGGCCGGCTGGGGCTGGTTACACCTTGGCAGACTTCCCCACCTCATTCCCATCCCCAGCCCCAGCTTGAGATAAGACATGACCAGTTAACATTGGGACTGTGCTGATGAATGGATCTGACCCGCCAGGGCCCCTTGTCCTTGGAACTGCTGTGTGCTGCCCCTGCCCTCCAAGAGCTTGGGAACAAGCCACAGGCTCTCACTCCTTGCCTCTAGGCCAGGCCATTGCTCGACGTCTGAAGCCATTCGGTGTCCAGAGATTTCTATACACAGGCCGCCAGCCTAGGCCTCAGGAAGCAGCGGAATTCCAGGCAGAGTTCGGTAAGTAAAACCTTGATTTCCATAGGAGCTCTATCTGTGCTCAGTTGGATGTTCCATTTTCTTTAATGGTGGCATTTTCAGGCAGAGTGCAGGTGTTCATTGTGTCCAGGGGCTGCTGTGTCCCTTAGGTGTTATCTAATCTACCTTCCCCTGGACACTGGCCCACTCAGGTCGCACAGGGACTTACCCAGTTCAGGCAGTGCATTCTCTCAGTGCCAGGAGAGCACTCCAGACCTCCTGTCTTTCAGAGTCCCTTGTCACCAAGTGTGGCCAGAGCAGCTGGGATGGTGGTGGATGTGAGGAAGAACTAAGCATTTTCATGCACAGTTTCCTTAATAAACTGACGAGCACTACCCCCAGGGTTTGTGTGTGCCCCTTAGTCCAGGTGAATCCAACCCCCTGGCAGGGTACCCAGCTTGGTGAGTGGAGGGCAGGCTGGCTCTCAACCATTCCTCACTACGTTGGCGCATGGGTCCTGAAGTTGGTGAAAGTCAGAGTGGCCCAGATCCCACTGTGTGACCTTGAACAAGCTCCTGCCCCTCTGGCCTCGATTTCCCCATCCGTTAGACCAAGGGACTGGATGAATAACACCAGCATGCCACAAATGGCTCTTTGTACAGTCATCAGAGTTATCCAGGTAGAGACTAGGCCTTCAGGAAGCATCTTGGGAGTTTCTATTATGGGAGGAGAGAGGCAGCATCTGGTCTCCTACCATCTTGCTGTCCCTAACCTGGGACTCAGAGTCTGACGGAGCCCTGTCCTCCCCCAGTGTCTGTCCCTCAGCTGGCTGCTGAGTCTGACTTCATCATCGTGGTCTGCTCCTTAACACCTGCAACCAAGGGACTCTGCAACAAGGACTTCTTTGAGAAGATGAAGAAAACAGCTGTGTTTGTCAACGTCAGCAGGTATCCTAGGGCCACTCGACATCCCTGAGTCACCCAGCAAGCCTGGAGAGGGCCTGTCCCACTGCTGCAATCTGCGGTTTTTCTTCCCTTTGGGTTATTGGTGAGACTTCAGTCTGAGCTTGCTGGTCTCCATAAACCAACCAATCAACTCAGAAATACAGTAAAGGTCACGAGAGAGGCTGGGTTAGGAAGAGGAACAAACAAGACAGTACCCCCAGTTTTCCTCAAGGCCTGGCACACAGTAGTGTAGGTTAGGGAATGAAGGTATGGTGGGCAGCGAGGTACCAGGGAACCTCAGCAGGCCCACTCTCCTCTGCCACAAAGGGTTGGACTTAATCATCTGAATGGTCAGAGGCCGACCTTCCATGCTGCTGAGCCTGGGTCTGTCTGACCATGAGTTCAGTGATAGTTTGAACCTTCATGCTCCTGGGAAGACAGACCCTAAAACCCAAGTTGTCTTGGCTCCTTCAAATGTCCCCAGCAGTGCCTTCAGGCTACTGTGCATGTATGGGGGCCAGACCTTTCTTCTCTGCCACTCCAACCCCTTCCTAGCTAGCACCCTATAAGCCTGTTTAAATCAGTTGGGAAGAAGGGATTGAATGAGGTCACCCTGAGGGCTGTACCCAGGATTATACAGGGTGTGTTAATTGTTATTGCACAAGTATTATTTAGTGCACAGTATGAAGTCTCTAGAAAATCCGTTCTTTACTTCAGCGGCTGCTCACTTCGCTGGATATAGTTAGCTGTGTACTCATTTCTCTGCCCTCGTTTAGGCAGGTGCCTGATGGCATGTGGTGTCCTCAGCAGGTGTTCTGGGAGGCCAACCAGGTCAGAAACACCTGGATGGGGCCCAACATAAGTGCAGACTTCTGGGCCCTGTTCATGCACTAGTGCATGTAAATAAGCTTTAAACCTACCAACATTCCTAGGAGTTAGGTGCCATTCTGCCCACCTTACAGAGGAGAAGCCTGAGGCATAGAGAATTTGAGACAGTTGACCAAGGTCACACAGTTAGAAAGTGGCAGGGCTGGGGTTCTGTGAATATAAGACCTGTATTCCTGTATAGACTTACTGTAAGTGTAAGACTTGTTGCTGTAAAAGTCAATGCCATGTGCCAGGTGGGAGGAAAAATTCATTCGTTCTGTGGGTCCCTCTGCCCTAAAGGTGGCCTGGGTGGTGGAGGGAGCTTCAGGGCACCTATATCACCACTGTCATTCCCAGGGGAGACGTCGTAAACCAGGATGACCTGTACCAGGCCTTGGCCAGTGGTCAAATTGCAGCTGCTGGACTGGATGTGACAACCCCAGAACCACTGCCCACAAACCACCCTCTCCTGACGCTGAAGAACTGTGGTAAGAACTGTGCTTTTCTAGTGTAAACTCACCACCGCCCTGTAGGAGCCCACTGTTTAGAGGTGGTCCTGAGCTGCTGGGTGCACAGCTAGCATGAGCAGTGCTGGACACAAAGGGACACAGACAGGGACCATAGCGTTTATGCTATTAGTGACACTGGTACATAAAAACAGGAGAGGTCTCCTGAACATGCTCAACTGGGTCTTTATCCCTAAAGGAGTTGAATGTAGGGATGAATGGGTTTGTTTTTTGTTTTTTGTTTTTTTTAAAAGATGACTGGTAAGGGGATCTTAACCCTTGACTTGGTGTTGTCAGCACCACGCTCAGCCAGTGAGCTAACCGGCCATCCCTATATGGGATCCGAACCCACGGCCTTGGTGTTATCAGCACCACACTCTCCCGAGTGAGTCACGGGCCGGCCCAGAATGGGTTTGTTTAAAGAAAAAAAACAAACAAAAAAAAATGAGTGGGCTACTCTACATTGCTATTAGCAGTTTCAGCATGAGAATTAAAAGAGTCATTACAACAGCAATATTTACAACTTGTGCCAGTTATGAAGCTGTTTCTCAGCAACAAAGGCCCCTTCCTTCTCTATTCTGCTTTGTAGCGCTGGGGCTGGGCCTCTGCGCACCCATTTCTGCTGTGCCAGCTGGCCCTGCTTGGCCCCATCCATGTGGGACACTGGAGGACTTGCTCTGTCCCTGCCTTCCTGTCTCCTGTGTGGGAGTGGCACACAGAGACACTTCCTCACCTAGCAGCGGCAGCTCCCAGCTCCTTCCTGTAGAGGCTGGAGCAGCCAGTTTGCAGTTTTTCCAGCACTAAGTTAACCAGCTCCACTGGGCCCCCTTCAGACACCAGCAACAGTCCATCATGCCCCCGCCACAGAGGTCTCAGATTCAGCTCCAAAGAAGCCCCACCCTTTCTCTTTGTCCCCCTAACCGTCGGGGTGAGTGGTAGATGCTTCCAGCAATTGCTACCTCTGTGATACCTTAGTGCAATGGTTCTTATACTTTTATGTTCAACAGAGTCACCTGGAGGGACTGATCAAGCACAGGTTGCTGGGCTCCGCCCTCAGGGTTTCTGCTTCTGTAGGTCTGGGGTGGGGCCTGAGACTGTGAGCCTCTAACAAGCCCGCAGGTGACGTTCATGCTGCTGTCCTGGAGCCACACTTGGAGAACCACTGCCTTAATGGTTTTTTTTGCCTTCTGTTACTTAACAACTTTATACCTAGTTAATAATTCTTTATATTAAGTTATGTGTGTTCAGGTAGCTGGTGTGGTTTCTGCCTCCAGACTAACTGGAAGTGGTCAGTCCCTGTCCTTTATTCACATTGTGGAATGGAAACCAAAACAGAAGGCCCTTAGCTGCCTTCCCCAGTGAATGTTCTCATTATTGCAGCCCTTGGAAACGCTCCCAGTTCCGACCCCCAACCCAGCCCACCTTCCTCTTTAACCCTTGGCCTCCCGGAGCTGGGGGAACATTGGCTGTGATGTCAGGGCTGCTGACCACAGCTGGGAAAACTGGCCCCATCCCGCCAAAGCCTGGGAGTTCAGCTCAGGGATCCTGCTTTGAAAAGCAGTTCTTTGAAGACGAGCGACCTCATTTGCTCTGCAGTGGGGCCAGAGGCAGCTGTGCTGCCCAGCATTTCATCTGGAGTTATTTCTGTAGATCAGAGGCCCTGTGGCATCACCTTCTGGGACGCAGGGTTGGGTAGTCAGTGCTAAGCTCCTAAACTAAATTGGCATCTAGTTTTATCATCTATTAACTTAAGGGCTGGGTCTAGATAGGCTCCAAGACTCCATGTAGCCCTAACATTAAGATACAAATTTCTGGGCCGAGCCCGTGGTGCACTCGGGAGAGTGTGGTGCTGGGAGTGCAACAGTACTCCCGCCACAGGTTCGGATCCTATAGGGATGACCGGTGCGCTCACAGCGCTCACTGGCTGAGCGCGGTGCGGCCGGTCTCAAAAAGGCAAAAAAAAAAAAAAAAAATACAAATTTCTCATCACACTTGTGTCTGGGTTGCAGTAGCCTGAGTCCCTTTATTACTCTGAACCTTAGCCCCGGTGGAATGGAGTTCTTAGTGACAGTAGCAGGGAAGGAAAATCAAGGAATATTGAGGCAAGTTCTCTTTACTCTTCTGTCAAATCCAAGCCATGAAAAGAGCCCAGTTTAAGGCTCTTGAACTACTCGTTTCCCTCTCTTCCTCTCCTTTTCAGTGATACTGCCCCACATTGGCAGTGCCACCTACAGAACTCGCAACACCATGTCCTTGCTGGCAGCTGACAACTTGCTGGCTGGCCTGAGAGGGGAGCCAATGCCCAGTGAACTCAAGCTGTAGCCAGACAGGAGACACCAAGGGCTGAGGCAGTCGGTGCCCTGGGATTCTGTCAGACGTGCCCAGGCTTGATGTGGACCCACAGACAGGAGCCAAGGAAAGGTCTGATCTGTACTGACTGCGAGGGAAGACTGGTGTTGATGGGTGTGACTGCCACCTTTGTGGTTGGACACAGCTGAGCCAAAAGGGTGTAATTCTATTATTAAACAATTCTTTAAGAGACTGTCTTGGTCTGTAACTGGGGCAGGGTAACAAAAAAAGCTTCTGCTTACCTTTTCTAAATCAGGACATCTACTGATCTGCCTGGCTCTGCTTCCCACCCCAGCCCTCACCCGAGTATTTTAATTGTTAGAACCTGTCCAAACTACTTTACCCCTTCTGCTCCTCTCTGCCCAAATTCCTTCACTTGTCCCTCACTGAGGATGCGACAAGCAGTCTTGTTGTGACCACGGCACCTGATTCTGATACGTGGACCATGAGGAAAATCAAAGAGCACAGACAGCAAAGGAGAGATAATTGGAGGTAATTGGAAGAAACTGAAGAATTAGGTAAGGTCACAACACTTATTCTTTTGGTCAAGAGTAAGTGGAGGTAGGTGGGTTTCTTAATTTTAAAATTAGCTTCAGCATAAACACACATTACACCCTTTGCCCAAATCGTCCTTTATCGCTCCCACCCCCTCGGTGGATGCTCTTTTTAATCACCACCTCACTCACTGCTCCCCAAGGCCAGGCTGCAGCAGCGCCATTGCCGAAGCTCTGCTTTGTGCCAAAGGAATCAGCTTCCGGCTCTTCGTCACAGCCAAGCCAAACTGGCAAATGGAGTTTTCAGCTTGGGAGGTGGGTACACAGAGCAGCAGGAGGCTAAGTAGGCCTTCTAAGAGTAACTGGGTAGACTGAGAACAAAACCTCACACATGCCCGCAGCTCAAAAACAGGGTGCAGGGAAGGCAGAAGGGAATAATTTGAGGGGAACAACCAATAATTGTCATTGACAGTATTATTTTCTAGGAGGCCTGGTTTTTTAAAAAGTATTAGTCAAAGCAGGGTTGGCAGAGAAAGAAATACTACTTCCCTTTTTTGTTTCAACCTTAATAACCTAAGCAAATAAAAAGAACACATTTAGAGGCATGAATATGACAAAATTTTTATTTCAAAACCTCAAATTTTGACCAGCATAGCACCACTGACATGGGTGCCCTGATAGAACTTTATGATGTGATCACCAGAAAAGATTCTACATGATCATGCCAGGCTATAATTAAGGCTAACCAATCAAAATTCAGGTACCCAATACCAGTTATAATCCAGGTAGAAACTACAGATCATGGGACCCTGGGACTGGTTTTCCAAGGAACCTTGGAATTATTTTTTAAGTGCTACAGCATGTACGAGGACACTGGCCCACAAGCTTGCTTCTCACACATAGAAACTGATCGACTAAGAGGTAGATGAGAGATTCCAGGATCCAAATAGCAGTGGAGAGGCCCCAAAAGCAAACGCCACTTGCACCCAAGCAGAGGTGAGGGCGTGAGCTCCTGGCACCACTGCCTCAAGATGGAGGGGAAGGAGGGCTGCCACTGCTCTGCTTGTGTCACTGGCTCCTCTCCCTGGGCCCAGAACAAGGGCCTCTCTTGTTCTCCACGCTGACCAACCTGACTCCCAAGGTTGATCTCACAAGACTGGTCCCTCCACCATGTAGAGGGTGGATGTAGAGGCTGTTCACATTGCGTCAGAACATGATTGCTAATGAACCACACGCCAAACTAAGTTTCATAGGTGACCCCATATCCTTCAACAGTCTGTTTCTGACAGCTGCTGAAAAGGAGAGGAATCAGGTTTCCCTTTGAGCTTTAGTTCATAGGGCATGCCAAGCCCCTCTATGAACATGACAGATTTAGTCAAAATGTGTAACTGCACACACTAGATTAAGAGAAAACACACTCATTTTTGTTTTAGGCTACACATAAATACTTAGCTTTCTAAACACAAGAACTGAATAATTCCTCTGAATTATGCCCAATGGTTTGGTATTTCTAAAAAAAGCTGTATACAAAAATAAAATGAACTCATGTTTATGCATGAATTAAACTGACTTCATGAGTTCTACAGAGATGCATTAACCTGTGCTGTTCCCCTGGATGCACATGAGCCAGGGCTCAGCCTAACAGGTGTCACCAACAGCCTTGATGGCACAGTGTCAGAGGACAGCAAAGTGTGTACTATGTGAGGCAGTGGGGCCCAGAGAGGCCCAGGGCAGTGACCCAAATTCCTCTCCAACAGTCTTGGATGCTACTTAGTGACTTCTATGTTACGGGCTGCCTAACTTTCTTATGGAGCCTGGAAAATATCCATGAACACTACTATGTTTGGATTTCAAACAATTTTAAACATTCAGCATTGTGTTAGGGAAGCAACAATATTAAGAGTTTAGGGTCTATACTTTAAAAGTATAAACAGTAATAAAACCCATGGAGGAGGGGGAATGGCAATATTTTTGGTTCTTTTGTAACTGAGAATAGTAATCTAGGCCTGGGAGAGATGCCATAAGAAAACAAAGCAGAGAACAGATTTGTCCTTGGGTGGGATGTGTCAGACTGGACTGGCCCTCAACATCTGGATGGAGCAAAGGGTAAATGTGCCATTAAAGACCCCACTAAACACGACTCCACATTATCAGAACACAGACAAACACTAGCTCTTTTCTGACTTGGAACTTCAGACATGGAACTGTAACATCTGAAATACAAGTTGGTTAAAATACTGCTAAAACGGCACATACTTGTCACTCCCTACAAGCACATACTCCATTTACAACGTTGTTTTCAAAATCAGAAAAAACTATTAAAACATCTATCCAACAGTGATGTATTCAAAAGTATATACACCTAATAGTCCAAGAGAATGCTCACTCTGGACCCAGTGTCAGCACCATCAAAGTGCAGTGTCTGTGACTGCAAATAGACAAAAATAAAAAATACAGTACTTTCTGAGGCCTAGGACTAGCTCATGATACACTTTAAAGCATTTGTGGCAGACAGCCATGTCCTCAAGGGCCTTCCCTTTAGACAGGCACCAAGTTGCCACTGGTTACACATAAGTGCATTTTGCATCACTGTATAGAGATATAATAGTCCCATCAGAGGGTACCGGAAATTTAAACGCCTCACATAGTTTTACAAAAGTTGCTAAAAATATTCTTTTACACTTCAATCTTTAATTTTTAAATGTGCCACTTTTAACATCAATTAAAAACTACTTTGACTGCGTTACTCAACCCTAAGGAAGAACTTGGTTTCAGGGACTACATCCCTCTTCCCAGGTATGCACAACACTCAGAATCAGCAGCTCAAGTGCAACACGTATAGTTCTCCACTCACCAGGCGCTGAAATCCGTAAGAGCCCCTGGGCAGCCTCAAACCCAATAGCATTACTTGCCTACCAAGAAAGATTTTAGTTTCAGTCCTACAACTGGCCTCAGCATCATCTCACAAGGACAAATAGTTAGAGTAAAGTGCTGGGCAGATTGCTGCTTTGCCAGCGCAGGCAGGTAGTCTTCGAATGTTTATACAGGTGGCTGGACTGACTAAACCTTTTGCCACACTTCAGGCAGGCGTAAGGCTTCTCACCTGTGTGAACTCGGATGTGCTTCTTGCAATCTGTCAAGGTCAAAAAAGTTTTGCAGCAGATTTTGCAGGCATACTTGCGAGCTCCCTCTACAACCAAGACGTTGTGCTCTGACAAGGCCTTCTTGCACTTTGACAGGACATCAGCAGATGCCCTGGTCAACTGCGGAGGACCAGGTTGGGAAGGATGGCCATTTTCAAATGAGGATGTGGCCCCATTCATCATTAGCTGGGAACTGGCAGGGTTTTCTGGGATCTGTGAGCTCCTGACAGAAGTTACAACTGGCATTTTTGGAGCTATGCGGCGGTAGTATGGAAAGTTATTGGACCCTCCTCTTGGGGAACCCATCATTACCCTGGAAAAGGAAGAGTGGAGGCCCAAACCAGACCTAGAAAAATCCATCCCAAACTGTTCTCCTTGGTAGCCTGAAGTCTGTACACATGGCAGGCCCATCACCTCCGGCATGGGCCTAACAAAGTGGGAGTCTGTAGGCTCACTAAATGGGTTCTCCACATGGGAGCCAGGGGCAGAAGAGGGCCCGCCCGCAGGCCCAGCCTCTGGACTCAACAAATAAGAGGCCTCGCCCTCCAGCCTGCAGTCACTAGTGGTGTTTGGGATATTATCATCATTGTTCTGATTTGCACTGAAGTTACTTCCTCTGCTCTTGTTAAGAAAATTTGAAATACTAAAAGTGGACTTATGTTCTAGGTTATTTGTGACTTCCAAAATGTGGATGTCACCTACCCTGTCCGTACTAGACTGGGGATCTGAAAAACTCCGATCACTGCTTTCAGGGCTGAGGTCGATCTTCTCGGCACTGACCACAACTCCCTCCACTTCCACAGACTCGCTGCCTTCCGCTTGAGAGGTCACATCGCTTACTTCATCCTGAGGCTCCGGTGAGCTCAGGGGCTCAGATTTAACCACCACTCTCATGTGTTCCTTCTCACCAAGGCCAACCTCAGGATTTTCACACTGAAAACCACTTTTCTCAGTAGCGGCTTCTGGCTCAAAACTAGTCTCAACCTGAGTTGCACGAGAGGCCATGGACAACTGTGCGATGTTGCTGGCACTGTTGTCAGACTGGCTGGGCACTTGGGCATCTTCTTGAGCGCCAAAAGACTGGTCAAACATGATAGCACCATCTTCCTGGTTGTCGGTCATTCCATCAGCTTTGGCATTATCCACAATCTTCAGAGAATCTGGTGAAAAGAACTCCGCCCGAGAATGAACCCCCGAAGGCCCATTCTCTGGTGTAACATCTGAAACGGCAGACTCATCCATGGGGGGTCGCAGGCGCTGTCTTGCCCGCTCCTCTGCAGACTGCTTGCGCTTATGAAGGCGCCTCATGGGGAAGGGTGTCCGCTGATCCAGGTTACTGCGCATCGATGAGCTCATGGGGGCTGGCTGCTCCTCACCACCCTGGCTGGAATTGAGGGCTGAACTCACGATGCTTAGTCCCAGCTGCTGTAGCATAAAGGAGCGCTGCATGCGGGCACTCTGCTCCTGAACACGCTCACTGGGGGGAGACATGGGCAGTGTCCTTGTCGTTAGGTAATGTTTACATGCCTTAACAACAGAGTTCAAATGCAGGTGCGAGGCTGCCAATAAGACATCCATAACATTGCTCTCCCCCAGCATAAGGGTGGAGGTATACATCATGTCAATCAGTGCAGCAAAGGCCTCTGCTGTCACTACCTCACTATCCAGCTGGATCATGTTCATGGTCTGATCTCCCTCTGTCACTGAGAACAGGGCTCGGAAATGCGTGCTGCATGCTGCAAGTACAGAGCGGTGGGCTTTAAAATGTCTATTCCCCACTACAATGACACAATCACAGAGCTGGCCATGAAGTCTCTGATAGTTCAGTTGCTGGAAGATTTGTTCAAAGTGACCAGGAAAATCCATGATCCTATAGGGAAAAACAAAGAAAGAAAAGTTTAAGACTTAGAAAAGCTTAAGTCAAAGTCAGAGCACAAAGGGTGTGATGATGAGAGGCGTGGATGGGCAACCTCGGACCTTTTAAAGTTTACAACATCTCTGATTATGGGCACATACACTAGGAACTTGTCAAATGAAAAGCAAATGCCAATTCAGCTATCACCCCAGGAAGTATGCACACACGTGGGTTCAGCTACTGGCTATTTCCAGGCTCCTCTTTGCTCTTCATATGACCCACTTGTAACACTGAGGTCTATGTTAGAAAAGACCAATGTGTGGGTGACGGCAGAAGTCTTAGATTCCTTCATTCCTTTAGGACAATGAATGAATGCCAAGAAATTCCAAACAGTTTTAGCAACCGTAAGTGAAAAGGGCAAATCAATATTAGATGGAAAATTTTCCAGTAATAAATGGTAGTAGATTGCACACATACATTTGCCCCCTACTCATACCCCATTAAAAAGACACTAAAGTTTTTTCATTTTTGTTGTTGTTTTAAGGTATAAATCCACAAGAAAAAAAGAGAATGGAAATGAAGACATCAATAGCATTTTGGAAACTGGGAGCAGGTGAGTAAGTGCTGTCGAGCTCTTTTACCTGCCTGTAATCCTGCCGACTGGGCCAACTGTCGAGCTAAGGCTGAGTCTAGAGCTCACAGACCCCTCAAGCCCGTTCATAGACTGGGTCACAAACCCTTCACATGCAGATCCATGAGCTAGGTAACAGGCAAAAAGGTCCCTGGAGCCGAAGGTTCGAGAACATGGCTGCACAGGGCAGATGCCTGAGGCAGTAAAAATGCCAGCCAGGTGGCAGTGCCACACATGCACACCAACTCCACCCACACACAACTTGCTTACAAAGAATGCGCCGCACCATCCCCAACTGGACCTAAGGCGAGGGGACCTGATTAAACTATTCTATTTTCCCAACAAGTGCTAAGTGACAAACCGAAAAAGCTAAATGCTAAATGGGCAGTGGATAAAACAACTTGACATATGTCAAGCCCCCTCCCAAAGACTTAGGAACTGGCTGCCCAGGTACCATAGAAAGTGGAGTGAAGGTAAAGCTAAGGCAGGAGGCCTGACTGAAAGTTTATTCAATTAAACATATATATATATATATATATATATATCATGGACATAGGGAATATAAATCTATACAGACAGTAAATTAGTGGTTATCTGGGGCTGGGTGTAGGGTTGAGGAGTGCCCCTGCTAGTCAGGCTAAGGCTGGGATTTTGCCCAAAACCACACCCTTGCTTGGGTGCTGGTTCTTCCCTCTCCTATTCCCCGGTACTGGTTTCTCCTGGGAGCCCCTCCTTGATAAATCACTTGCACTTGAATCCTTTTCTCATGGTCTGCTTCTGGAGAACCCTAAGACAGTATGAATCTAAGCCTTCTTCATATTCATAGTCTATACAATCACTTTTGGGCATCATAGTAATGTGTTTAGATTTTTGTAGCATGCCTGGGTTCCTCTCACAACTGAACCCCTAAAGAGTGGATTTCCTTTTCCCTGTCCTTCTTCCTCAAATCCTCTTTGCAGTAGAGACTAAAACAGAAGGTCTACAAAGGGGAAAGCCCTGCATTTTTAGAGGAAGACGATCGAGTGGATTTTAAATTATAATTGATTAAGATGTTTTGAAAAATCACTTACACCATGTTAACAATATCATGTAGAGAAAAAAAGGGAGGATCAAATCGCCTTAATCATTTTAAACTTAAGAAGTTGGAAAATGAGCATTTGTAAACCTATGTTATCAAGTACACAAAGTAGAAAAAAGAAAAGTACACAAAATAACAGTTATAGTTTCCAAAAGCAGACCCACCATTTAATCATCTTTTAAAGTTTGTAAAACAGGGCTGGCCGGTTATTCAGTTGATTAGAGCATGGTGCTGACAACACCAAGGTCCAGGATTTGATCCCTGTACCTGTCAGCCACCAAAAATAAATAGCTTGTAAAACAAACATTTGTTAATTTCCATCTATATAAGAAAAATATCACTCCCAAGAGGCTTCCTTTCAATAAAAAACTTTCTCCAGAGCATAAAGGCAATTTGGAAAATTCACTGGTTACAATTACAATGAATGAGTTGAGTACAAAAGTCTTTTAAATGTACCAAATTACATTAAATCTAAGATGTCAGTGATTATAAAATAAAATTATTTCATGTAACACTAGGAAAGAACAAAAAGCTGCCAACTAAGCTACAGCATAATGCTTACTTATGGCACCTTGTCTTCAAAGAAAGTAAAATGTAAACAAAATGTGTTTTAGAATCAAGGAAATACTGGAACCTTAAACATATTATTCAAATATGTTAAAAGATCAGAAGTAAAATTACTGATAAAATAATATTGTATATTAGAATCTATCTATATCTACTTATTAAAGTCAGCACTCCAACACAATTCCTAATCTGTTTGAGTTGTCAAGACAAATCAAAGCTTTTAGCAAAAATATATAATAAAATGAAAGGCACCCCTAAAACTGGATCTTGAGATTAAAAGCCACTATTGGTGGAAATGATGAAAACAACTGTAAAGAGCAATAGTTCACTCAGAAACAGCTGGTCTTTTGGCATATGAGATGTTCACTTCATACTTAGACAAAAGATGCAGTGTAGTGTTACATTCCATCCCACCTGCTACACTATCAAAAACTGGCTCTACTAGACAACATCCACATTTGAGAAATGTTAAGTACAGTAAAAGAAAAATCATATGCTTAAAACAGAGGGGTAAAAGTATTTACAATTAATTTACATTTATTTTTTTTATTTTTATTTTTTTTAAAAGATGACCAGTAAGGGGATCTCAACCCTTGGCTTGGTGTTGTCAGCACCACGCTCAGCCAGTGAGCAAACCGGCCATCCCTATATAGGATCCGAACCCGTGGCCTTGGTGTTATCAGCACCACACTCTACCAAGTGAGCCACGGGCCGGCCTCAATTAATTTACATTTAAAAATATAAAAGTTGAAAGCTAACATGGAATCAATACCTTGGGTTCTTTTTTCCCTTTCCAAGAAGAATTTGAGGCCGATTCAAGATTCTGTGTCAGTGACAGCAAGTTTTTTCAATCTCACTGAACACAAGATATTATTAAGTCTCCAATTTGATATAACTCATGCTACCTACTTTATATACTAACACATTTACATATATTTCGGTATTTCAGTGATTTTTAAAAATCACTTCTACTTCTTGTGAGTCTTGTGACAAAGTCTCTTCTGAGAGTGCTGACCCCTAAATTTGGGAAAACACCCCAGTATAAAATGCTTTTCCTCCAAATCTTATCACTTTCAGAATTTTGCTAAAGACACATCAACTAATCAGATGCTGCCAGCATCTTCAGCTAACTGAAAGTTATGTTCTGAGACAACTCTTAGGAGAAAAAGGCAAATCTCCAGAAAACAAAAAAGTTGACTTCACGACTCTTCAAAAAGTCTTGGTCCACTTATTTAGCAAAGCTCAAGGGCCCAGAGCAGGTCCCCAAACAGTCGCACAAAGCTGGCTGCTGTGGACAGTCTTCCCACGTTTGCTGAGATTTCCAGAAGGGTTAAAGCAATAGTGGAAGGCCTTCCTATGGCATAGGAGTTTTTCTCTAAAATAATTTCTTCTCTCCCCATCTGGGGGTTTAGCTTATGGCCAATCACCCTTACCACCAAAATCACAAGACTTTAGCAAATGAAAAGCGAGTCTACATTAAAAATGATGAGGCATCCAACCCACCTTTTAAAATTATCTAAGGCACAACAGCCCATACAAGGACAGCAAATCACCAGTGATGACTAAAGCACAGCATTCTCTTCAACCTCTAAATAAAGATCCAAATGTATGTAATATCTTCTACTTATTTACTACAACTGAAAAATATATTAACATGTCTTGGAAATATTCTTTTTTAATTCTTGAAGGTGAAGCGTTTCTTCTGTTAATTCAAATTAACCCAAACCGGAGCATACTTAGTAATCAATACTTTACTGTACCTTTACCTAAAGTTTTTCCTTCAAAATAAATACTGGATTTAGGATTTTTCTTCTATTCAGAAATTAGCTTCTACAGCACCCTCGACTATGTCAGAATGCAGACTGACCTAATAAATGGCCATTTTGGAAGGAAAAAACTAACCCTCAACCCCCTAACCCCCTTAATTCACTACCTTATGTTAGTATTTATGTACAAATCTGTTTGTCCTCCAAACTGGGGGGAAAGACAGGACAGCTGCATCTTACCACCGCATTCCCCACAGCTCCTTGCACGAAGCCTGGAAGTAATGGGCATTCAATAAACGTACTTGAAACACTTTAGTCTTCTCGTAACAACTTGGAACATTCCAAAACACTGACTCCACCCCTACAGGGTCTGCCGCCGACGGCCTTGCTCTAGTGAAATGAAACCTCGTCGCTCAAGAAGACCAAGGGTGAGGGCAAGGGAGCCACCCGACCCCATCCCGCGGGCAGGAGATCCTCTATTCATCATCAACGCCAGGCTGTTGGTCCGGAGGCCTTTCCCACCCCATCCCGGCAAACTACGCCGCCAGCAGTAGATCCGCAGGGGCACTAGCCCCCGCCCCAGCCGGCAGACAGCCTGGCGTCGGGACACGCGGGACGCCTGCGCAGAAGAGTCCGCCTCCTACCCGCTGGCCCCTCCGCTCCGAAGGGTAACAATAACCCCTCAGAAAGACTGACAGTACGCGGGGGTACCAGTACGCGACTGCGCGCTCCCCGACGCGACCCAGGTGCTCAACCGTCTCCACGTGAGCGCGCCGGCGCGCGCGCGCCACCACGACTCTCGCTGGCAGAGTCGCCTCACCTGAGCCGGGCTCCGCCCCCCTCCTCCTTGCTGAAGGAGGCGGTGACCCCTCTCCGATCAGACCCGACAGTGTCGGAGGAGGCGGGAACGTCCAGACTGGCGACTCCGTGATGGGACGTCCTCCTTCTTCCGCCCACCCACCGCCCACCCCTCTTCTTGTCCCCTAGCTCCTTCAGTCCTTTCGCTGCGGCACTCTGAGAACACGGCGGCGGCGCCCGACAGTAAACGGAAGTGACGCAATGCAACATCGCCTACTGCGTTCCATTCCTCCTCCCCTCCGACCGGGCTGCAGCCAATCGGCAAATGGGAGGGCGGGTCCGGGGCAGGAGTGCAACCAGGCGGCCCCCGGAACCCGGAGGAAATTACTCAGCCCCCGAAAAACTGACCAATCCACGGTCCCAGGAGCCTGGTTGTGTTTACTACCGACCAAAATCCGTGAGCGCTCTGACCAATCACCGTTTGCCTTACAACACGTAAAACCGTTATCAAACGCCTTTTTTTTTTTTTTTTTTAAAAAGATGACCGGTAAGGGAATCTTAACCCTTGACTTGTTGTTGTCAGCACCACGCTCAGCCAGTGAGCGAACCGGCCATCCCTATATGGGATCCGAACCCGGGGCCTTGGTGTTATCAGCACCGCACTCTCCCGAGTGAGCCACGGGCCGGCCCATCAAACGCCTTTTAAGGCGGGATTTATCACTAAGCAGCTCTAGGTTTGGACTACAGAGAAGAGACTATGTGCCGCAGCCAATCAAAACCCGTGCGATTGAGGCAAGCGGGTTTTCCGCCTATTTCCAGCAATCACGATTGCCGAGGGGCCAAGCGCATCCGTAGGGTAATGGCGTCCCGCCATTGGCTGCTCCTGAAGGATTTTCCCGCCCTCGCGGCGCCCGGCCCTTCGGTGACCCCGCGCTCTGTCTCTGAAGTGAGTTCCCTTTGGGGAACCCACACACGCACCCGGCCGGAGGTTGAGTTCCCACCTCGTAGGCGTTGGAAAAGATGAAATTCCAAGAAGCCGATTAGGTTGAATTAAACTAAAATGCTAACTCCAAGCTAAAATGATGAATAAAAAATACTGTCCATCTGATGGCAGTTAGGTCGGAGCCCGCCCCACGTCCGGTCAGGGTGACAGCGCGTCTGGCAACGCTGGCGCCTGCGGAGTCTGGCGGGAGGGAGGGGACTCCCGAGTCCGGCGCTGGGCTCCGCATTCCGTGCCGCAGGTCACAGCAGTCTGTAGTCTACAGAGCCAAGTTTATAATGACTTCTGCCCCCTTCCCCCAAGCAAAGTTGGAAGTGCTAAGTTCTCCCAGCGATGTCTCAAACGTGGGAGGGTCGCGGACTTCCGTGGGACGGGGTCAGAAGACAGCAAGCTCCGGCGTGGCGCCGGGACTCCCGGGAGCACTCTTGGATGGAGAACCCGAGCCCGGAGGGAGACCGGCCGGCGCGGCTCCCCGAGGGCGCCGGGCACTGGGGCCAGGGAAGAAACATCCTTCCTCAGGTGAAGGCGGGAGAAGAAAATCCGTAAGGGGCCTTCTGCGGAGATGTCCCGGAGTTCTGCGTGGCTTCGGAGACAAAGGCAAGCTCGGGAACGCGGCTGGGTTCTTTTGGGAGGGAGAAAGAGGGGAAGAATGGGGAGGCTAAAAATGAAACTCCTCGCGGAAGAGGACGTCATTGCGGCCGCCTGTGTGGCCGGAGAAGCAGCTTGAGGCATCATTAGATGCACTGCTGAGTCAAATGGCTGATCTGAAGAACTCACTGGGGAGTTTCATTTACAAGTTGGAGAACGGGTATGACCGGCCGACCTGGACCTCTGTCCTCGACAGCCTTTCCTTGCTCTCTGGACAGCTGAACACTCTGAACAAGGTATTGAAGTATGAAAAGACACCACTGTTTCGTAACCAGGGCATCATCTGCTGGAGTTTGGATGTGTTGTCCCCTCCAAAACTGATGTGGAAATTTGATCTCCAATGTGGCAGTGTTGGAAACTGATTGAGTCATGGGGGCGGATCCCTCATGAATGGATTAATGCTCTCCCTTAGGGGAGAGGGGATTAATGAGTGAGTTCTAGCTTTATTAGTTCCCGCGAGAGCTCGTTGCTTAAAAAGACCCTGGCACCTTCTCTCTCTTTCTTGCTTCCTCTCTTGCCATGTGATCTGCTTGTACCCGCCGGCTGCCTGCCACTTTCCGCCAGGAATAGAAGCAGCCTGAGGCCCGTGCCAGATGCAGCTGTCCCAGAATCGTAAGCCAAATAAACCTTTTTCCTTTATAAATTACCGCAGTCTCAGGTATTTCTGTTATAGCAACACAAAACGGACTAAAACATCATCCCTCTGGTGGTGTCCCCAGACCGAGACGAAGATCTCATGCGGCACACTGTAGGTGTAGGACGGGTGCCTGTTTTCAGCCATGAGGTGGTCCCTGACCATCTGAGAATCGAGATTGACTCTGAGGTCAAAGAGCAGGAGAATCAACTGACGACGGATGCTGCCCGAGTCGGTGCTGATGCAGCTCAGAAGCAGATCCAGAGCTTGAATAAAATGTGCTCAAACCTTCTGGAGAAAATCAGCGAAGAGGAGCGAGAATCAGAGAGTGGAGGTCTCCGGCTGAACAAACAGACCGTTAACCCTGCAGACACCAATGCCTTGGTGGCAGCTGTTGCCTTTGGGAAGGGGCTCTCTAATTGGAAACCTTCAGGCGGCAGTGGTCCTGGCCAGCCAGGAGCTGGGACAATCCTTGCAGGAACCTCAGGATTACAGCAGGTGCAGATGGCGGGAGCTCCAAGCCAGCAGCAGCCAGTGCTCACTCGGGTGCAAATGCTCAAGCAGGTCAACTAGGGAAAATGCCAAGTGGAATAAAAACCAATATCAAGTCAGCTTCAATGCATCCCTACCAGCGGGGAGAGTGGCTGGCAACCTCCACTCCCAAGTGCTCTTTGCAGACTTGGTCAGTGAAGTTATCTTTTGCTCAAGGCTCACCTAGATAGGTACAATAAAAAGAACATGGGCTTTCAACAATAGACAAATCTCAGCTCCTCCGCTGACTAGCTGTGTGGCCTCGGGCAAGTGACCTCATTTTTCTGGGCTTGTTTTCTTGGTTGTAAAGGGTGACGATACCTACCTCTTAGGGTTGTTGTGAGGATTAAAATGAGAACATGAATATAAAACACTTAGCACAGTATATGAAATAATAGGTATTCAATAAATGATAGTTTATACAAATAAGTAAATATGAAACTCCCTGCTTCTAACACCCAAGCATCACTACAGCCGATTCCACCCTTTCAGACATTACCAGCTGGAAGTTTTGCCCTTGGGTTTATTTCTCTAAGGCCTCGATGAAGTCTGATGGTCACTTCTGTTCATTTGGATTCCCTGACATTTTATAGCCCTTACACATATTTTACTGCCAGATTGGCAGTAAAACAGGCCCGGCGCCGGTCCCTTGCGATGACTCACCGGCCTCTGAGTGGCTCCCTTTTTCTGGTTGTTCTGGCTCCTCGCTCCTGCGTGGGTTCACGGGAACCCTATTGGCGGTCTTGCTGTCCTGGGGGCCACCAAGGCCCTCTTCTCTCTTGCTGCCTCCAAGTAACTCCATCTGAAGGGCACAGCAGCGGCTTCTGCCGGCTCCTGCTCCATGTGCTCATCAGCTGGAGCCTTAAAGCAGCTGTGGCCCGAAATACTCAGAGCAGCTTTTTCTTTCTCTCATCCTAGTTTTTCCCACCTTCATGAACTCCGTAAGTCTCTCCTCCTCGTCCGCTGAGCTCCAGCGGTCCCGGCTTGGCTGATATTGCATTTTTATAGGTGTAAATTGGTTGATTTGTGGGAGAGAGTGACGCTGTGGACCATCTATTCCGCCATCTTAATTGGATCCCCACTTCCTCAACTTTTAAATGATTTGTTATTTCAGAGCAAAATTCACAAGAAAAAATATTTTTATACCCATGAAAGGAAACTATTGCTGGATTATTATTTAATTGGTACAAGCGATGAACCCAGATTCCTTAAGTGACTTTAAATCAGCTAATTCATATGATTTTTTTCAGTCTTGTTAGTGAACAAGCATTTACAGTCCTTGAAAGTTTTACCTAGGTTGCCGGTATTAAAAAGAGATGACTTTTGGATGCTTAAGTCTTGGAATTCTCTTTATTTTCAGCAGGTAAAAAGTGATCTTGACTTAAAGTTAAAAGACAAAAAAAAAAAAAAAAAAAAAAAAAAAAACCCAACAGGAAAAAGGGGCGAAAAAAAAAAAAAAAAAAAAAAAGCGAAGAGGTGAGGCAGAAGCAGCAGTTTTCAGAATACAGGGTGAGTCACTGCAAACACGCTGCCTTTCAGGTCTTCAGTAGCGATATCCTGAAACACCAGCAGATGGAGATATTACCCTAGGAAAGGAGGACTTAGCTTCACTCCCCCTTCTCTCAAAAATAGTTTTCCTTCTCTGAAAAACGTTGCTAAGAGAGAAATCCAATGTCTCTGAATTTCCAAACTAATGTTTTATGATAAATTCCACCAGTGATTATCCATGATTCTAAACTACAAGAGGCGGGCCGGCCCGGTGGCGCACTGCAGCTCCCGCCGAGGGTTCGGATCCCACATACAGACCGGTTCCCGCTCACTGGCTGAGCGAGGTGCGGGCGCAGCACCGAGGGTTGCGATCCATTGCTGGACACGAAAAAAGACAAAAAAGGAAAAAAATAAATAAAATAATAAAATAAACTACAAGAGGTCACTATAGATTTTGACATTTTGGTCAGTTTCTGAGTCAGGCCTGTTTTATCCTGCCCCATTCCAGTTTTATATGCATGAATGTATACGTACATGGTGTGTGTATATGTGTGTTTTGAATCATTGTTAAATAATTAACGTAGGGGCATATACCACAGCCCCCTTCTCTGCTGCCCCGACATTAACGCATTTCTTCCCCAGATAGAATCTCTATCACTTTGAATTCTTGCCAGTGGTAATTCTGGGCGTCTTTGCTCTTGGGAGGTGTGTGGTACTTTTCACTCTTCCATCTACTACAAAGCAGCCAAATCCTGGGGACTTTCACAGAATTTGTCTGACTGGCGAAGATCTGCCTTAAAAGGGAAACAATCCAGTACAATGCTTCCCAAACTTTAAGAGCATGATACTACAGTTCTAACAGGCTTCCAGGTGTTGATGCTGCTGTTTCCATGGGCCACACTCTGAGTAGGAAGGCCACTCAATGTGTCCCTATCTAAAGAGGGGCCTGGACAGTTCTCTCAAGGACTGCAATTGGCTCCTTAGCCACTGTTGTCTTCTTTGTCACTCTTTAACTTTGATTTAACTGTTCATATTTTCATTCAACCAATCATTTACAGAGAATCTATTATGTGTAAACCCTATGCCAGTTGATTTCCACCAACATTACTAAGCATCTTTGAGTTCCACTCCCTGTGCTAGATTCCCAGGACTAGTAGTGATTCAGGCTTATTTCTTGACCTGTCATTCATTCATTTCACATTTGTTGAAGGTCTACTATGTGCAGGCACTGTTCCAAGAGTTGGAGGTACAACATTGAACAAAACAAACAAATCTGTTTGTTTACTGTTTAACCCCAAAATTGTTTATTGTTAACCCCAAATATGTTTAGTGAGGAAAAAAATCAATGGAGGAGATAAATAATTAGACAATTAAGATTTTCTTCTTCTTCCTTTTCCATTCCTGAATAATTCAATCCAAAAGCTGGGGTCAAGGTAGCTGTAGTGGATTGAATTATGTCCCCCCAAAACTCACTGAGGCTTGAATTGTTTTCCAAGTTTTGTGTGTTAGAAACTTAGCCCCCACTGTGACTGTTAAGAGGGTGGGAAATCCTATTTTGGTAATTGAAAGGTGGGGCCTTAAAGAGGTGATTGGATTGTAGGGCCGTGCAGTAGTGGGTGGATTAAAAATGGTGGTCAGGGGTGTGGTTCCGAGGGCTTTAAAAGAAGAGGAGAGTGTGTGTGTGTCTCTCTCTCTCTGCTTTCTCTGCTTTCACCATCTTGCAATGTGAGACCCCTGAGTCACTGTCACCACCACCAGATGGACTTTGCACTTTCTTGCCTCAGAAACTGTAAGCAATAAATTTCATTTTCTTTATAAATCACCCAGTCTCAGGTATTCTGTTATAGCAACACAAAAAGGACTAATACAATAGCCTTCCAATCAGAGGAAGAACTATAATAGCTAAATGCAACACATGATTCTTTTTTTTTTTTTTTTTAAAGATGACCGGTAAGGGGATCTTAACCCTTGACTTGGTGTTGTCAGCACCACGCTCAGCCAGTGAGCCAACCGGCCATCCCTATGTGGGATCCAAACCCGGGGCCTTGGTGTTATTAGCACCGCACTCTACCGAGTGAGCCGCGGGCCGGCCCCAACACATGATTCTTGATGGGATTTTTTTGCTATAAAAACACTATTGGGACAATTGATGAATTTAAATGAGGTGGGAAGTTAAGTGGTAATAATGAAACCATGTTAATTTCCTGATTCTGATGGCTGCATTGTAGTCATTTAAGGAATGTTTTTCTGTAGGAAATACTAAAATCTTCAAGGGTGAAGGGATATCAGGTTGACAACTTATTCTAAGTGGTTTGTGGCAAGAAAAGCTTTTGGCACTGTACTTGCAATGTTTTTATAAGTCTGAGATGGGGTGATTAGAACCGTGTGACAAGTGCTCAGGCAAAGGGGCACAGAGGTTTAAAGGTTATTCGGAAGATCCTGGGTGTTGGGTGGATGGATGGGGAGAGAATCTTGAAACAAGGCGATTTGAGATGAGAGATAAGTCAACCCAAGTTCTTGCCCTTCAACAGTAAGGCCTTTGACTAGGCAAAAGGGGCTGTAACCTGAGTCCATGCCTATTGGCCCTGCTTTTTCCCTTCTCTGCTCTGATAACCCCTGATATAGGAGAAGGGTTGCATCTGCAGGGAGAAAGGGACATGTCCATCAGCTAGGAATCCCCCCATCCCCCCTTTCTAGTTCACTCCAGAATCCCCTGCCCAAATGCTCTGAGCCTGCTGGGCTTCTCTCTCTGCTCCATCCTCCTAGGGTTGATTGAGCCACAGGTATGCGCAGGCCTTGGTAGAAGGAGGAATCATGGCAGCGAGCTGTTTGCAGGGTTGTTGACAAAGGTTAGGCTTAAGGGCTGGATGTCCACGTGTGTGGATGGGAGGGCCTGGAGAGGGACGGCTCTCTGCCAGCTGCCATATTTACTTGAGGTTCAAGGAACCACGTCAGAGATTTTTTTTTTTTTTTGGCTGATGGCCGGTACAGGGATTGAACCCTCGACCTTGGCATTCAAGCAAACTAACCAACTTAGCTAACCAGCCAGCCTCTCCGGTCAGAGAATTCTAAATTTGAACTTGGCCTTTCAAGTCTTGGGAAGGTATACACGTATTTGCTGGAGTAGGAGAGACAGACGACACTCTACCGAGAGAGTGCTGAGCTGGAAGAAGTCCCACATGAAGATTAGGCTGAAGACCTATACGCGTCGTGTGCCCTAGTCCAGCAAAACCCGTAATGTGCAGGTGAAGCGCTGGGCCAATCAGGTGCTGCGCCTCGAAGAGGCGGGCCGAGGAGGAGGCGTGGCACCGTGTGGGCGGAGACCACGCCTCTCCGCGTGTAGGGGCGGGGCGAAGGGTAGGCGGGACGGAGGTCTCTGCGCGTGGGGGGCGGAGCCACGCGTCTCGCACTCTGGGCGGTGCCTGGCTAGGCCACGCCTTTTCCGGCCCGTTGCACAACTTGGGCTCCCGCGTGTGAACAAAGCTCTCATGGCTGCGGCTGTCTTAACTCCTGGGCTTGGCGGCCAGACAGGCGAGACGGCGGCAGAAGTGTCTCCGACTGCGAGGTGGCTGTATTGTGGAGAGCCCGACGAGAACCAGAGAGCTGTGCTGGGTAAAGACTGCGGAGCTGGAGCAGAGCTCCCCGTAACCCTCTCCTCTTCCCCCTCGGTACCTCTGCAGTCCTCCGTCGTGTCCCCTTCTCAGCTAGACCCCTCTTAGTCTCCACCATTACCTGGGGCTTGGCCAGGGCTCCCCTGTCACCCTGCCATCTTTCTGTCACCACCTCCCAGCTGGATGAGGACATCCCAGTCACCCTCTCTCTAGGGCTGTGCCCAGGACCCTATCGTCCCCTCACCCAGCAGTTCTCCCATCTGCCCCACTTTCCTTTCTCCACTGGCCAGGGATTCCTTCTGTCTCGCTAGATCTGTACCAGGATCTCCTTCATTCCCCTTTAGATGAGGATCTGAGCTTCCTTTGCCATCCTCATTCCAACAGTCCCTGCCGGTGACAATCCAGTTCCTCCCCACCATACACTGTGGGTCCTTCTGTTCTCATCTCATTTTTGGGCTGCACTCTTACAGTCCAGTTCTCCAACGGAAAGCTGCAGAATCCAGGCAACGTGCGCTTTACCCTGTGCAAGAGCAATGACTCCACAAACCCCAGGAAGAGGAGTCAACGGATCCTGGTAAGTGCTGCAGTTGCCAATTGCGTCCACTCTGCAGGCCTCAGGTGGCCCCTTGGGTGTGGATGGAAGTGGGAGGAAGTGAGGGGAGAAAAGGGGAAATAGCAAAGTAGACTTTGAAGAATTACTCTGAGCACCAGCATCTTGGGGTATGGCGACAGGCTCCATCAGGAGTTAGTATTTTTGGTAAAGTGATGACCTTTCATTTATTCTTTCAACAAGCATTTATTGAGCACCCACTATAGCCCTGTGCTATAAGCTGCTAGGGAAACAGCCAAATCAGACCTGGCCCTACTGTGAGGGAGCTCATACTCTAGAGCAGGTTTCTCAACTTTGGCACTATTGGCCTTTTGGGCCAGAAAATTCTTTGCTGTGGATGGCAGTCCTGTGCATCACAGGGTGGTTAGCAGCATCCCTGGCCTCTACCCACTAGATGCTAGTAACCCCAGAGAGGATTTTCCTGGATTGAGAACCTCTGCTCTAGAGAGATGAGAACTGGCTGTGAGGGACACTCATATTATACAGTAGATAAAGCTGTGAGTCTGGGGCGGGGGGAAAGTACAGGACAGAGGGAGCGCAGTGGGAGGAGAGGTCTCTCTGCTAGCCAGAATGCCTTCCTGGGGGAGGGTGCATTGGAGCTGAGCCCTAAAAGATGGGGCAGGGTTCGGCAGCTGAGGTTTGGTGTTCCAGGTGAAGAGGAAAGCAAAGACAAACGCAGGGAAGCATGAAACCTTAGCTGTGATTGGTTTAGCTGGGGAGTGAACCAGCCATTTCCATGGTCCTGAGAGTATGTAGATAGAAGTCATGGTGGGCAAAGAGGATCAAGAAAGACTTGGACTTTGGGCCGAGGAGGTTGCCTTTATTGGCATACTTATAAGTGCTGGGATCCCCGAGCTTCTCCCTCAAGTCCTGTGGTGCAATTGCCCCAAGAACTTTTCATACCGGTTAGAAGCCAGCACTGTCGGAGGCTTCCCTTTCACTTGCCCTCTTGCCTTTCCTCCAGGGATACTCCAGATTTCCTTAGACAAGAATGGGCACGTTCAGGGTGGTATGGACGTAGGTCAGATTCCCTTAGAGATAGCAGGGCTGCATCATCTCCTGGAGGCTCTCTAGTTCTAATCCACTGTGGTTCTAGGTTCTAAAGCTTCTGCATACGTAGAAAAGAGAGACAAGGTGTTTCAGACCTTTCAATATTGGTTGTAAATGGAATTTCCCCCACTCTCCATTTTAGGCAGCTGAAACAGACCGACTTTCCTATGTGGGAAACAATTTTGGGACAGGAGCGCTCAAATGCAATACTCTGTGCAGGTAATGGTGGGGAAAGGGACAGTGGGAAGGGTAATGGGGAGGGTAGTGGTGGTAGCACCGGACTGCCGTTTTCGGTTTTTAGGGACAATGGGAGAAATCTAGGGAGGTTTACCAAGTCCTTGTGTTCCTAGACCCAGGGGCCCTCACACCAGCCTGGAGACATTCCTGGAAGGGGAAGAAGACTTATATTTATTGAATTTCCTAAAAACCTTATTTCTTAGGAGCCGGCCCGGTGGCACACTGCTACAGTGCACCGCTTGGGAGCGCAGGCGGTGCTCCCGCCGAGGGTTCGGATCCCACATACAGACCGGCCGCTCACTGGCTGAGCGAGGTGCGGGCGCAACACCGAGGGTTGCGATCCCGTTGCCGGTCCCGGTCCGGTACGGGCGCGACACTGAGGGTTGCGATCCGTTGCTGGTCACGAAAAAAGACAAAAAGGAAAAAAAAAAAACAACAACCTTATTTCTTTGTAATATTCTTTCTTTATAACTGTCTTATTCGAAAAGGCAGCTCTCTCCACTAATTTGAAATGTGTGAATGATAGGCCAAAAGAACTAACCACAAGAAAAGGATTTGGTGGTGTCGAAAGTTCTGGGCTGGGAAAGCGGAGCCCTGGGTTTTCGTCTAGCTGTGCCACTGATTGACTGAGTAACTTTGGGCAACTCTGCCCATCACTGACCCCTGGTCTTCTGTTCTGTACAATGACAATTGTCCCACCTGAACAGTCTACAACTCTCAGGGGCTGGCATGATGTATACAGGGTCCCTGTGATGGTACCTAACAGTGAACCAAAGACCATCCCTTTTCAGAGCCCACACTGGACCATGCCCTATTAGAAGTCAGATTGATGTATGTGTGCCTAGAACTATTAACACTGCATCATCCCCTTACAAAGATGCTCTAGTTCAGGTTGGCCTTCTCCCTGTAATTAACAAGATTTTAGTTGTATTTGCCTCCATAAAATTTATGTGTACAGTAAATTCTAGTGTAATTCTAGATTCTTATACCCTTAAAGGATTTTCCATTACAGCAGCAAGATCACCAAATGTGATCAGCTACCAGGATCACCTAGTAGCTTTTTTTTTTTTTTTTCAGAATCACCTCATGTCCCCTTTCCTTCTGTCCCCTCCTTTTCCCTTTTCATGCAGGGAATTGCTGCTGGAGGGGATTATTGTTACTCGTGAGCAATTGATGCATTCCTTGGGTGTGTTGGGGCAGAAAGAAGGTTGAGAATTTTTAAACAGGAAAAAGGAAGTTGTGAAAATGATCCCTTTTGCATAGTCCATTGTCACTGGCATTATTCCTTCTTTATTCAGGCATTTTGTGGGAATTCTGAACAAGACCTCTGGCCAAATGGAAGTGTATGACGCTGAATTGTTCAACATGCACCCTCTGTTTTCAGGTAGCTCCTAGTCATGAAAGCTCACAGAAATGCTGTGTATTTGGGGTTTGCTGGATGAATTGGTTTGAGTTTTAGACTTATAATATGTATTTTGTAGTCATTTTTAAAAGGATGCCTTTCTGCCAGTTTTTTTTTCCTCTTATTTGAAAAAGTTTTAGAGATTTTTTATTCAGCAGACATTTATTGATGACCTACTATGCAACAGGGACCAAGCTAGGGGCTGTGGATGTAGCAGTAAGCAAGACAGACACAGATCCTTTCCCCACTGTGTTTATAGACTTGAGATCAGAAGCTAATCTTAGTTAAAGCAAGTTGAGCAATGATCCAAGCAGAATATCGGAAGACATGTCTGATATCAATTTACTTTCCACTGAAGGCCTTTCTTAATTCTCTTAACTGTTTTAATTGGGGTAGAGGTTTTAGAATCTCTGGTAGGCGAAGGAAGTTGCTTATAGGTTTGATAGTAACTTTCATGTTGATGAAAAGTCTCTACACTGTCTCTGATTTGGGGAGGATATATTCTTTTCCCTAACCCAGTGGGAGAAGTTGTGTTACTTCTCTGCCCTGTCATCTTAGAATGCTCAAGGTTAGAGTGAGATCTTCTTTTTTTTTTTTTTTTCGTGTCCGGCAACAGATCGCAACCCTCAGTGTCGCGCCTGTACCGGACCGGGACCGGCAACAGGATCGCAACCCTTGGTGTTGCTCCCACACCTCACTCAGCCAGTGAGCGGGAACCGGTCTGTATGTGGGATCCGAACCCTCGGCGGGAGCGCCACCGCACACACAAGCGGCACACTGTAGCAGTGCGCCACCGGGCCGGCCCTAGAGTGAGATCTTCTGAGATGACAAACAAGAGGGTCAGACTCAGAAGACTCCTGTTCCCTAAATCTCAAAATTTGAATCGAATCCTTGGTGATGCCCTTAAATACTGAGAACCATGGCAGGGCAGGGTGATAGATAAGGAAGGATCACTGGAATCATTGTAAATCTGCCTGGTATCTTCAGAGGCATCAGTTCTCACTTTATTTCCTTGAAGTAGTGGTTCCCTCCCTTTTGAGAATCTGATAAGGACCCAAACCTACTTCTCAGAAATATGCATGATATTTTTATGTATATATACAAAAATATGTGAGAGATTTTACACAGAATTTTAAAGGACTCTTGAGTCCGGGCGCCCATCTATGAATTTCCTCAGGCTTCATAGGCTCTAGGTTAAGAATTCCCTGTTTTACAAACAGATGTAACTACACTTAAGTCATCCTCCAAATGTTCTTCTAAATTCCAAGAAGGCAAGGAAAATTGTTTATTAATTTATTGATTTTTGTTTTTATATGTAAACATTTGCAACTACTGGTTTATTCTAGCTAGCACGTGCACACACACACACACACACACACACAACATTTATATTGGGTCCTTACTATGTGCTAGTCACTGTTCTAAGCACCTTCAACATCTCTTACTTCACACAGCAACCCTCTGGGGTAGGCACTGTTATTCCTTTTTTACTGAGGACAAAACTGTGGTACAGCGGTTAGATGACTTTGGTGGAGGGTGCTGCTGATATAACTGAGGCAAGGCCACTCCAGAGCTTGTGCCCTTGTCCGCTAGATCATGCTGCCACTTATTTGAGTACTCTGTGGACGATTAGAGAGCATCATGCCAGTAATACGTACCTCATATTTATGCCTGCTCTTAGGTCTTTTACCATGAGAGCAAAACTATTTACTAGAAAGAGTCAAGGACTTGATTTCCAATCCTCTCTCTGCCACTGCCTGGTGAACTAACCTGGGCAAGTCATTTCATGTGGAGCCTCATTTTTCCTTATTTGCAGAACGAAGAGGTTAGACCAGATGACCCCTTTTGACTCCCTAATTTATTCTGTAGGTTCTTTGACTTTATACTAAAGCTACATATTAAATGTTCACAGTATACACTCATGTTAAGCTCAGGAAAGTCCTATAGTAAAGAAATCTGTTTTTCTTAGATTAACTATTAAACAAATAAACATTCAAGACTATTACTATTTGTAGGCCTTACTGTTTGCTTTTTTCTGTCTGTTTTTGTGTGTTTTGCATTTTGATAGATGAGTCAATTGACAGTGAATCAACACTAGAGAGTCAGACCAAAACTTACCGAGAGAAGGTAAGTGTAACAGAATTAAGATGTGGGACCTTAAGCAAGTTCCTTCTAGGCCTTGGGTTTCTCCATCAGGAAAATGAGTATGTTGAACTCAGGGACCTCCCTGGCTGCTCCCAGCTTGTTCAGTCTGTAGTTCTCTGGACAGTTTCAACCTGCAGAGGCCTCATTGGTGTCACAGAAAGCAGTTCTGCTTGCATCTGGGGCAGCTGAATGCAGCTCTGTGCCAGTGTTTGGAACCAGGTCTCTGGGTGGAACAGGTATAGCATAACACTCGTTTTTAGGATTTAGTTCAAGTTTCAGAAAATATTGGTTGTAGCCTGGAAGCTTTCACATTAAAACAAAGTAAACTTCAGGATTTTTAATGTTGAAATTTCCTGCAATGGTGATCTCACCCCAGGATGGCAAATTGAATCTTCAGTGCTGCCTGGAGCTCTGTATTGAGAAGGGGGGGCTGGCCAGTTTGCTCAGTTGGTTAGATTACAGCTTTATAACCTCAAGGTCATAGGTTTGGATCCCTGTACTGGCCAGCTGCCCCCACCCCCCAGACCCCCCCACAAAAAAGGTGAGGAGGAGTCTGAGGCCATCTCCTTGGTCAGGGAGAAGGAATGAGTAATCTACCAGCAGTGTCTGTTCTGGGTGTAGGATGGGAGAATGGTAAGCTGTGTGTCACAGATTTACCAGCCTTAATTCTAATCAAGTCTTTTCATTTTATTGATGGAGATGCTGTCGTTTTGTAAATAGCCCTTTATAGCTTATAAAATAAGTACAGATGCTTCTTTTTTTTATTATTATTATTATTTTTTTCCTTTTTGTCTTTTTTACTGACCGGTAACGGGATCGCAACCCTCGGTGTTGCGCCTGCACCGCACTCAGCCAGTGAGCGGGAACCGGTCTCCACATGGGATCCGAACCCTCAGCGGGAGTGCTGCCGCACTCCCAAGCGGTGCACTCTCCAGTGCGCCACCAGGCCGGCCCAGATGCTTCTTGACTTACAATGGTGTTATATCCTGATATAAGTTGAAAATACCAGAATTGTAAGTTGAAAATACCAGAATTCGAAAATGCACTTAATACACCTGACCTACCAAACATCATAGCTTAGTCTAGCCCACCTTAAACATGCTCAGAAAGCTTACATTAGCCTAAAGTTGGGCAAAATCATCTAGCACAAAGCCTGTTTTGTAGAAAAATACTGAATGTCTCATGTAATGTATTGAATACTGTACTGAAAGTGCAAAACAGAATGGTTGTATGGGCACCTGAAGTATGGTTTCCATTGAATGCCTATAGCTTTTGCACCATTGTAAAATTGAAAAATCGTTAAGTCAGACTAAGTTGGAAATTGTTTATATTTCAAATCTGTTAATATCATTTGACGCCTACAGCATTCCTAAGGTGACAAGTCTGACTCAGCTTGAGTTACAGGTGAGGTGATAATGGCTCAGGGATGCTGAGTGTCCCTGTAGGAGTGGTACTGCTCACCTGTTCTGTCCCCAGTAACCAGGTCCATCTCTTGCACAGATGGATTCTTGCATTGAAGCATTTGGTACCACTAAACAGAAGAGAGCTCTGAACTCCAGGAAAATGAACAAAGTTGGCAGTGAATCTTTGAATCATGCAGTAGCTAAAGCTGCAGAGAGTATCATTGATGCGAAGGGTGTGACTGGTAAGCAGCTGGACCTTGGAGTACGAGTCTGCCCATAATAAGTTTTCTTTTCTCTTGAGATCTGTTACCTGTCCCCAGATGGAAATGATGGGAGTTAGGGCAGGATTCTTTCCTGCCTCTCGCAGAGGGCCTTCTCAGGGACAGACTCTGGAAGTACTAAGAAACGTTGACGTGGCCCTGCTCTTGGTGCAGGGTTACAGCCTTCAGGGCACAGAGGAGAGATAAGTCCTCACGTCCCTCTTTGTGAGGTGCTGGGAGGCTTTGGTCACAAAGACTGACGTGATGCTGATGGAACTGAGCCTCCAGAGGAGGCGTTTCACTCTGAGGTCAGTGGGTCTTTTTCTGGTCCTTGGCAGCTTGAGTATTTAATTACATTCTTAAAAATATATTTATTGTTCAAATATATTATAAGAACATAAAAGAAAGTTTCTATAAGTGCAGTTTTTCTATTAAGAATGGAATTCTGGTAATTTTTAGAAAATGTTTCAACACACTATGATTATATAAATATTTTTATATGTTTACTTTCAATGCTTTCATTATTTTATTTTTTGACATTTAAAACTTAACTCAATTCTTTTTTTTTTTTGGCGTATGGTAGAGATCTAATTTTATATTTTGTTAATGGTTAGCCAGTTGTCCCCAACTCCATCCTTTCCTTTTATTTTTTGTGGCTGGCCAGTGTGAGGATCTGGACCCTTGATTTTGGTGGTATAACACTGCACTCTAACGAGCTGAGCTAACCAGCCAGCCCTTTATCCTTTTCTTATACAAAATGTGATTTAAAAAGTCATCTTTATCATTTTACTGTATTCTTTGTCTTTTGGTTTTCCTGGCAGCTGGTCAGTACAGGGATTGAACCCTGGACCTTCATGTTATCGGTACCATGCTCTAACCAACTGAGCAAACTGTCCAGCTTTTTTCCTGCATTCTTAAAACACTTAGTTGTGTTCTGTTCCATTGTTCTTTTTTTTTTTTTTGTCCTTTTTGAGACCGGCCGCACCGCGCTCAGCCAGTGAGCGCTGTGAGCACACCGGCCATCCCTGTATAGGATCCGAACCCGTGGCGGGAGCGCTGCTGCACTCCCAGCGCCGCACTCTCCCGAGTGCGCCATGGGCTCGGCCCTGTTCCATTGTTCTGATTGGTGTAGCAGCACCAGGCTCTTTTGATTATAGCAGCCTTACCATCTGGTTTATTGCCTTATAGGGCAAGTTTATCCTCCTCCTTCATTTTTATTTTTCAAAAATATATTAACTGTTGTAGCATGCTTTTTCTTCTAGGTAATCTAAAGAATTATTTTGTCAAGTACCCTCAAAAATAAAGACGGGGTTAATATGGGGAGAGTTAACATCTTTACAATGATATGTTTTCCTATCCAGGAACATAGAAGTAGGCTTCCCCATTTATTCAGTGACATACTTTAATGTCTAAGGAAATTTAAAAATTTTTTCATTATGTTTACTCTCAGGTGTTAAAGGATATTTAATAAGAACGGTAATTCAACCATATTCCAGATAATTCAATCATCATCTACCAGACCAACTATTCGAATTTTCCTGTTTTTTCCTCCATCCTTACCTGTCTGTATATATACTTAATTTTTACATAGTCATTCTTGTAGGGTATTTACAATTTAATATTCTGAAGGTTTTTTTTTTCCCACTTATAATATATGGTGAAATTTTCTAGAAGTTAAGCCAGCCATTAAAGGCTATTTTGAATATCCCTCACTTTTGACTTCTCTCATAGTGTATTGTAAATGTTTTTTTGCCTCTCTGTCTCTCCCAACTCTATTGCAAGTGACCTGAGAGGACCATGCTGCATCCACCTTCTCCTATGCCTGGGGTAGTGTTTGCTTCACAAGGGGAGCCTGATTGGGGTGGGGACGGGGGGTTGTTGAGTAATTTGGGCAGAAGCTTTCAGCCTTGGGGTTTCTGGACCATTTGTGGTCTTAAGAATAGGGTGATACTGACACTAATCTTTCTTGTATTGAAAAGCTCTGGTCAGTGATGCCATCCACGGTGACTTGCAAGATGACTCCCTCTACCTTCCTCCATGCTATGCTGATGCAGCCAAGCCTGAAGATGTGTATAAGTTTGAAGATCGTATCCTGCTTGTGGTGGAGAATCTGTCTTGTTTCACAAGTTGGGATGTTTGTGCATGAATGCTACAGCCAGGCTGTCTGAAGGCGTCTATGGTCCTGTAACATTCACAAAAGCTACATCCAAACCTTTCCAGTTGACCCAGGGCTATTGCCAGGTCAGCTTGGCATCCTCACTAGCTGAGGGACCCAGCCCTTGGACTCAAACTCACTCTTTAGCAAAATGCCCATAGCTCAGACCTGTGGAGTCACTCTCTACAAATAGCCAAAATGTGACTTTTGAGTTGGCCAAAGTCCAAAGTCTAGGGCAGACCGATTTTGTAAAGGAAGGGTTGGAGGTTAGAGTTTTACAACTTGATGGGTCTGGTCAGATGGAAAATGCCTGCAGTGGCTCTGTGATAAGAAAGAGAAGGCAGGGTGGGCTGGTTAGCTCAGTTGGTTAGAGCCTGGTGTTATAACACCAAGGTCAAGGATTTGGATCCCGGTGCCAACTAGCCACCAAAAAAAAAAAAAAAGAAGAAGGCAGAAAAGCCCAAACAGGGAACAAGGCTGGGAGTCTGAGAACTGAGTCCCCAAGCTCTGCCCTGATGTACTATGTGATCTTTCCCTTTCTGAGCCTCAGTTTTCCTATCCGTAAAATGAGGCTACTACGAGATGATCTAGTTAGTTGGATATTTCCGTTTTGGGCAGATTGCATTCTTAACCTGTAACTAGTTCTTTCTCCTGCGGAGTATGAAGCTCTTCGGAGCCCATCTGAAGCTTTCAGGAACGTCACATCAGAAGAAATACTGAAGATTATTGAAGAGAACAGGTACCCTCACTTGTGCAGAGGGGGAGTCTGGGGAGTCATGTTGGAAACAACAGTAGTCAGACGTGAAGCGGGACCTGTGGCTGTCAGTCAGTGAGGAGGTGTGTCTGTTCTAATTTGAACATGAATGAATCAGTGTTTTCTTGAACATTTGGGCTTCCACAGCTGTGGGTAGGTTGAAGGGAGAGAGTTGTCCCAAGTGCATGGGACCTGCAGCTGGGCAAAGGATAGCAAGGCTTTACAGTCGGGCTGGGAATCAGAGCTAGCCTGTGTTCACCAGTGTCATGCTGATGTTGATTGTCACCAGCAGCTCCCAAATGCTGGCCTGGGAATGGGTGCCAGCTGAAGTGATGGTTTCTCTGTGATTATAAGCTGGGCAGGCTTTTCTAAAGTTAAACTTATGTATTTTAAATAATTCAGAAATTATTTCCTTACCCCCTCCACTTTTTTGCCATTAAAACAGCTTTTCTTTTATGATGATGGTGGGATTTTTTTATTTTTTATTTTTATTTTTAAAAGATGACCGCTAAGGGGATCTTAACCCTTGACTCGGTGTTGTCAGCACCACACTCTCCCAAGTGAGCCATGGGCCGGCCCAGTGGTGGGATATTTTGCTTTTGAGTTATTTCTTTTAATAATTTCGTCTTGAGAAAATAAAGAGTTGTCAACCCTAGGTTGGATCTTCCAATTTTTGTTTTGAAATTTTACTGGTCATTGAAATTCAGAGCCTTGGAAATGCCTTTTTTTTTTTTTTCTCCAAAGATTTTATTTCCAAAAGAGAATTCATTATTAGTTTTTAATTGTTTTAATGTGATTGTGACTCAGGGATAGGCATAGAAATGAACTCTGGAGTAGGAGTCAGAGCACCAAGTCTCCAAACTCTGCCATGACACGTTCTGCCTCTTGGAGCCTCCGTTTTCCTATCTGTGAAGTGAGGCCACTGTGAAATGATCTTTTTATCTCTGCAAGTCCAGGGTCTTGATAGAGTAGAACATAAAAATATTGGCTACCTCCGATGGAGCTTTTTGTGCCAAGGACTGTTCTAAGTGCTTTACTCACATTGTCTCTTTTAATCCAGAAAAAATTCTTAGGAGGAGGGTACTATCATTGGCTCCAGTTTATAGGTGGAGAAACCAGGGCACAGAGATGTAAAGAAATTTGTCCAAGCTGTTAAATGGCAGAGAAGGGATTTAAACCCAGACTGTCTGATTCCAGAGCCTATGCTCCTGACCACTAAACCGGAGGTCGTCTAACTATGGCCAGTGTGCCAAGTCTGGCCTGCTGCCTGTGAATAAATAAAGTGTTATTGGAACACAGCCCTGCTCAGTTACTCAAGTATATCTATGGCTGCTTTTGCTCTGTGACATCAGAGTTGAATGCAACAAAGATAGCATGGCCCACAAAGCCTAAAATATCTACTCGTTAACCCTTGTTGATCCCTGCACTAACCGCGCTCCTCTTGTTAGAAGGAGTGTTGCGTGTGATGGCCTTCCCTGAGCTGCTGAGTGTGTGTCAAGGGTGAGATATGCCTCCTGTACTCACTGTGAGGGAGAATGGTTCTGGCAGAGCCTGTCTTACCCTGACACATTCCTCCCTTTCCCTTCCTTGTTTTAGGCACTGCTGCTTTGTCATAGAAGCGTTGAAGTCTTTGCCATCAAATGAGGAGAGCCGAGACCGCCAGGCCCGATGCATATGGTTTCTAGACACCCTCATCAAATTTCGAGCTCAGAAAGTAATTAAGCGAAAAAGTAAGCCCATGATAGACATTTTATTCTAGTTACTTCCAGTCCGTTATTTGTCAATAATTCTTAGAACGGCTCTAATGAGAGAAGAAAATGGATGTTAGTCCAAGTCTTTATTTTTAACTGTGCAACAGTGAGATTCCTATTGGTACTGCTGACATGCTGGGAAGTCTTGCCAAGCTTTTTTCTCTGTGGATCTCTATTTCCTCATCTGAAAATGGGGACAGGTTGGAGTATGTGATTGCTCAGGAGCCTTCCAGAGCTAACACTCACTATGATTCTGCATGGGGTAAAATATAGTATCCAGGTCAGATCAAATGAAAATTTTAAGGGACTGTTAGAATTAACATAAGTTACAAAGGGAGAGAAAATTGGCATTGCTCATGAAGGCTTCTGGTGGGTTGTATTGTGTCAGCTCACTTCTGACTAGGAGAGGAGAGTTTCTAATGGTAATCCCGGTGTTGCCTTTGGCTAGGACCATCTGTGACTGTCACACACTCACATTCACCCCGGGTTGGAAACCCAGCAGGAGGCATCTGTGATTTTAGGCATGAGGTGTATTCACTTATTGTTACTATGATTGGGCATCCAAGAGTCTATATTCATGTTTTCCAGTATTTTCTTAGTTCTTATTTTCACCAGTCTCCCTTCCTCCTTCTCTCTCTGGGCTTTTTCCACAATCTCTTTTGTTTTCTAACATTTTGGTAATTCTGTGTCCTTAGGCTTCTTTTGGATGTTTTTCTTTCCTGTCACTGCCCTGTCATAAACACCTCTCCTGCACGTGTGATCTGCAGGCTGAAGCACACCTGAGCATATTTTCATTTTAAAGTGGCCATTCTGTTTCATGGGCCCCTGCTTCTGTTACCACATGGTTCTGTTCATGACAGTGGCCCAGCTGTTGGCCTCATCTCCCAGGTTTTGAGAGACAATAATCAAACTCAGCTTTGCATTGTAGGTGCCCTGGGACCTGGAGTTCCTCACATCATCAACACCAAACTGCTGAAGCACTTTACCTGCTTGACTTACAACAATGGCAGGTCAGAGGGGTTGAGTTCTGGGGTTTTTGCCTGTGAAAGAGAAAGCAGGTGGGGGGGGGGCGGGAGTGAAAAGCAGGGGCTTGGATTCAAGTCCATGTCCACAGAGATGCAGTGCTGAAGAGATCACTGCCATTTACAGGGGTTCTGGGGTCAAGTAAGTTTAGGAAACACTGTATTTTACATACACTATTCCCCTTGGAAAAGTTCACATTATCTTTTGGGAATATTAAAGGCTCTGGGGAGTCCTACAGTAAAGACTTATTTCACTTCACACACTTCTTTCAATGAACGCTTCCTGAAACTAGGAGCACTAGGAACCTGCTAGTGTTCGGTGGAAAGGCGGTGCTGCAGACAAGGGCAGCCCGCATGATGACTTTGGGGGAAGAACCCCAAGCAGTGCCCCCGGGCATCCTTCCTGCCATTTGCTTGGAGTGTGTTTTTAGCTCCTGATTGTGCTTGGAAGACTCAGCAACAGCTGAGTTTGGCGTGACTGTGGTGGACCCTTGCTAGTGCAAAGCTCTAACCGTGCTTGGGGAAAGTGTAGGTGCAGCTTTCTCTGTCCCACGTGGAGGGAAACACTGGATTGGCTTGCTGCTGCACTGTGTGTGAGGCTCAGGCACCTTGGAAGGGACTAGGAGTGTTGCCCAAATTCCTCTTCCTTTCCCCAAGTTGGGAAGGCATTGGATGCATATGGGAACAGGCTTAGATGTTCTTATTTTGCTTTTGGAGAAATTGTCTTAGAGTTTAATTTTGTTTTTCCTTTGTTGCCACTGATTTTGCAGTTTACGGAATTTAATTTCGGATTCTATGAAGGCGAAGATCACTGCATATGTGATTGTACTTGCCTTGCACATAAACGACTTCCAAATTGACCTGACGATGTTACAGAGGGACTTGAAGCTCAGTGAGAAAAGGTAAGCACAACAATGAAAAAGTCCCTGCAGGATGGCTTGTATATTTCTAGTACCACTGGAAAGCATGAGGCACCATCACGGGGACTGGGGGTGTTTAATGTGGAAAAAACTTGGGACCAGAGGACGATTTTCAGTGAATGAATGAACAGCTAAACATCACTGAGTGTCTTATCTTTGCTAAGTACAGCATTAAATTCTGTCATATTGTCTTATTGCTTTCCCTAAAACGCAATTGAAGAATCTGAGGTTCAGAGAAGTAAATGACTTTCCCAAGGTCGCACAACCGAGAAAGGAGTAGTTGAGCTTCAAACCTGAGCCTTTCCATGGCATTCTGTTCCTGAATAACTGAACAGCCTTCATTCTCTGAAGTGTTGTCACTGGGGAGAGGGATTCTGTGTGGTTCTGAGGAGTGGACCCCAGGGGTAGAAGTTATAGGAGAACCCAACCTCAGCTTAATAAGAAGAGCTTTCTCAGAGTCAGATGGAAGGGGCTTCCAGGGAAGGTGTTCAAGGCAAGGTGGGGCTGCTGGTTGGCAGGGAAGTCATGCTGGAGGTTCTCTGACTGGACTGGGAGAGCTGGTAGACTTTCTAGGCCACCTATATAGCCTTGCTAGAGGAGATTCAGGTAGTAGGGGGCAGAGTTTCTCAGGATCCTGATCTGTTGGGAGCCTTTGTCAGTGTGAAATAAAGCTTTTGTTAGTGTATAAGCCTTTGTCAGTGAGTTAGGGACATCTGATATCCAAGGACCTGGATGGTGTTCCAGGAGAGCCTGTGAAAACACCTCCATCTTGACTGTTCTAGCAGTCTGCGGAGGTGTTATTCTGACGGCTGTCTTCAAACCCCGTTCCTAAAGGCAGTGAGGTTGGAAAGGAAAAGAGAATAGGTACTTGGAGCCCGTCAAATTCTAGCAATGCTCAAACCTGCTTGTTTTTATAGTTTGGTTATAGGAAGTAAAGTAAGTTAGTAACAGGGATCTAGATAACCTGGTTTTCCATCACCTTTATGGATATTTTCTAACAGCAGCACATTAAAATGAAATTGTCTAGCTGATGGCCCCGGGGGTTGGGGGAATTGTACCTGCCTCTTCGGGGGCTTTGCTCCTGCTGGCCACTTATGGGATTCTGTCTTCATGGCCTGGAGCATGAATGTGCTGCTCTCTCCTGCCAAACCTCCCTGAACAGCCCCATTGAGGGATCCCTCTCCATTTGTTCTGTATGTTTCTTCCTTAGGATGATTGAGATAGCGAAAGCCATGAGGCTAAAGATCTCTAAAAGAAGGGTGTCTCTGGCAGCTGACAGGGAAGAGGATCACAAAATGGGCACTCTGTCCATCCCACTGCCTCCAGCCCAGACCTCGGACCGCCAATCAAAGCGGAGGAAAATTACCTAGAAGTGTGGTTTCCAGACAAAGGATTTTGGCCACATCGTAGCCACTGCTTCTGTTCATTTCCATATTTGTTTTTAAAAAGAAAGGGGGAAAAAAAGCCTTGCTTTGGCAGGGCCATGAAGCCAGAATCCAGCATCTCAGTTGTGCTTGTCTTATGCAGAAATATAAAGTGACAGCCAGATTGGACTGTTGCTGTGATTGGTGTTGCTGTGATTATAAATGGCAGATGTTTCTCATGTTGGTTCCCACGTGTGGGGATTTGGGAGGGTGGGGCATGGGGACATCAGAGTCAGAAGATCTCACCAGGCTGAATCCTGAGCCAAATTAAATGGAGGGGGCCGGCCTAGTGGCGCACTGGAGAGTGCGGCGCTTGGGAGCACGGCCGCGCTCCCGCTGAGGGTTCGGATCCCATGTGGAGACCGGTTCCCGCTCACTGGCTGAGCGCAGTGCGGGCACAACACCGAGGGTTGCGATCCCGTTGCTGGTCCCCGGTATGGGCGTGACACCGAGGGTTGCGATCCCGTTACCGGTCAGTAAAAAAAAAAACAAAACAAAAAAAAACAAATTGAATGGAGGCAGGTTTATAAAGAGAAATGTGAAGTGCTGTGCTTAGGTCTGGAAGAGGCAGCTTTGGGCTTTATCAGTAGCTAACTGTGGGTCACCAGTGTGATGGGGTTCCAAAACAGGCTAGTTGATGGCCTGCTGTCATAGGGTGAAGCCACATCAGGAAGCACTGACCCCAGTTTCTCTGCCTGGCTGAGGCCACATAGAGGGCAGGGGTCAGCTGTGAAAGCCACACTTTTGAGGAGGATGAATCAGTCAGGGTTGAGTACAGAAAACAAATTGTTCTAGGCATTGTAAGAAGAAAGGAATTTAATACATGGATAAGTTACTATAAAATTGTTAGAAGGGCTGGAGGACTGGGAATCAGGAAGTTGCCACTGGAACTGGTGAATTCAAGAACATGCTACTGGGGTTGCCATCTGGGGATCAGGAAGTTGCATCTGCCCCACAACTGCTTCTCGAGTTCATGGAGCTGGAGACCTGACACAGCCAGCCAGGCTTTCATTACCCACATTTCTTCCCCTTGCTGTCAGCACAGCCAGAAGATCAGGAGCTGGCCTCCGTCCTGTTTCCTTCTGGGAGTACATTATGATTATTGGAGCCTGACTGGCATCTAGCATCTTAGCAGCAAGAGAGTGTTGAAACAGTTTTCAGCTCTCCAGCTTCCAGCCACAGGAAGGCACATGCTGGAAGGAGGTGAATGAAAACTGACTGCCAGCTGACCTTACGTGCCACTTGGGAGATAGGGAAGTCAGCATCTGGAGGGGTGCTATGAGGACTGGAACATGACACAGGAGACTTAGGGATGTAGCCACAGCTCAGCTCAGATCTGCAAGTCTCTTTTAAGGCTGTAGGAGCAGTTGAGGTCTGTGGTGCTCAGTGCCCACGAGTCCAGATTGGTGGAGGGAGGGAGACAGAGCTCAGCTCTCTGTGAAAATGAGAGGAGGAGTTTACACAGCAGCTGGGCGAGTCATGTCAGGGAGTCATGGTGGGAATGAGTCTTGGCTGAGCTTTGGGACAGGTGGTCCTTACATTTCTCTGAGCTCTGGAGGGCTGTTATCAGAGCCATTCTGTGGGAAGGCCATGCCTGTGCTGCATATTTTCCATGCTCCTCTCTGCTTTGTCTTGGTTTGCCTCTGGCCCCAGGTACTGGGCATTTGCAGCATGCTTGTCTCCCTTCAGCAGAGGTGTGAACGAGAAATCTACCTGCCGCTTGTTTTTCTTTATCTAAGCCATTGTGAAAATCAAGTGTGTGACTCTGCATTGGGGGAAAAAAATCTGTCTCTGCGAAAAGGACTCCTAATGTGTTCAAAAGGTAGAATGTGTTTTCATGAATACTTTTTAGATTCTGATGGGTTTGATACTGAGGCTTAATTACCAGGAATGATTGGACCACAGCAGTGCCAGTCCCCTCTGAATAACTTCTGTCCTTGTGGGGTAGCAGCCTGTCTTTAGTCACTCACACGAAGACTAGTGGTATTGATATGGAAAGTCTAGGATGGCAAATAAATACTTTTCCTGGGTGACAACAGGGGTAACTCACTAGATGTAGGTGATACATTCCCAGAAGTTGACTAAAAAGCAAATTTCTGTACATCAAGAGGTTTGTGGGTGCTTAGGAAAGGCTCAAAAGAGGGCCATTGTTCAACATGAACAAGTCTCATGAGAGCATCTAGCACAATGCCTGACATTTAAGTGGTTGGTGTTGAGAGAGGCACAGTCTCTGAACTGTACTTTCCTTGGCAGGGTTATTAGGCAGTAAACACTTGTAGAATAATGGAATCATACTAGGTTTCTCCTAGCTCTAGAAAACCACTTATTTACTAATACATTCACAGAGGATACCTGATCTCACCAAGTTATCTGCCAGAACATCTCCCAGTGTCCTCACTGAAGAAGGGAAGACTGTAGGCTACATGCTCATTCCCTTAAGAAGATTTGCAGTTTGTGGAATAATCTTAACTTACTGGTGTCAATTAACAGAATGGACAGAATGAAGTCTTCCCTGGAGGGAAGTCTCAGCCTGAAGCCCTGACCTGTTGGACTCTTAACAGGGATGAGATCAGAGAAGGCATATTTAACACATTTACAGAAGACTCCAACCTGGAAATAGCTAATTAGATGAAATTCTAATTTCATACTTAGAGAAAAGTTGAAAGAATAGTACAAAGAACGCCTGTATATCCTTTACCCAGATTCTCAGTGAATACTTTGTCCAATTTATTTGCTTTATACATTTTTTTCCTCTTTGAACCATTTGAGAAAAGCATCCTACCCTTTTCTACATAAGTACTTCGGTATGTATGTACTGAGAATAAGGACTTTCTCCTCCTTAACTACAGTCCCTTTATCAAAGCAGGAAATTTACGGTTTATGTTCAGTTTGCCCGTCATCACGCCTCTTTGTTCTTGCTTAATCTGAAACAGTGTCTTGGCCTTTCTTTGACCGTTGACCTTGACATTTTGAAGAGTGAGGTCAGTTATTTTGGGTGTTCCTCACACTGGGTTTGTCTGGTGCTTCAGGATATACGTTTTTGGCAGGAACAGCACAGAAATGATGCTGTGTCCCACGTGCACCACAGTAGACACAAGATGTTGGTTTGTCCTTTTCTTGCTGATGTTAACTTTTATTACTTGGTAAAGCTTGTGTTTTCTTCACTGTGAAGTTACTATTTTTCTTTTTGTAACAGAGGGATACTTGGAGACCTTGTGAATATCCTGTTCCTCATCAAACTCTCACCCACTAGTTTCAGCCTCCATTGATGGTTCTTGCCAAGTCAATTATCCAGATGGTTGCAAAATGGTGATTTTCTAACTCCATCATTTCTTCTACATTCATGATTGGCATTCTGTATAAGATTTTTGTCCCCATTAGATTTTTTGTTCATGTAGTTATCAGCATGGACTCATAGATTCTTTTTTCATTCCATGATTAGTCTGTTACTATCATTCCTTTTAATGCTCAAATTGTACACATTTGGCCAATGTGAGGTCCTTCAGGCTAACTCCTTTATCCATCATTTCCTTACTTTTTGGCATAAGATATTCCAGGCCCATTTGTACTTTCCCTGCTCCAGTCCTGGAATCAGCCTTTTATCCAAGGAGCCCTGGCCCTTTTAGAGGAACACAGTAGGTGATGTGAATGATGGGCCCAAAGCAGGAGGTGAAATACAGTCCTGACAGTCAGATGGATCTTCAGCTGCACTCAGGTAAGTACTGGGTTCAGAGCAGAGGTGACAGTCCTACTGTCAGTAGCTCAGACTGTACTGGGAGGGCCATGCTAGCTTTGACTTCATTTAAAAAGGATTCCGACCATGGTGGATGGACTCAAGAGCCCCATGGTCACAAGTGCACCCCGCAAAGTTCTGGAAGTAGCAAGAAGGTACTGCTGGGGTGAGCAGCCCCATGTGAGCCCACCATGAGGAACCATTTGGAGAGAAGGCTTTCTGTGCTGTTGGAAGGAGAGGAAGATGGCCCCAGGGCTGCTGCTGAGAACAATGTAGGCTCATATTCTGTTCCAAGACCCAACTCTGGCTCCTGTCTGGTCTGGCCACACCACATCTACCATTCCCTGTATTCAGGACCTCCTCCGGACATCAGGGCAGTAGCCTTGACAGGACCTGGGCTCCTGTAGAAATTGTGTTGGTCTTTGTTGTGCTTGTGCAGTCTCATCAGTAGGCATCAGTTTGGGCCTGATTGGCCAGTAGGGAAGGCCATGGAGGACACAGTATAAGTTGCTTGGGTAGGGGACAGCCAGGACCTCTTGTTCTGCACGAGGGTTAAGCCCTCACCCAGGGCAAGTCACCCTGTAGAGGGGGCCCTGAGCTACTGTAGACTGGAAGCAAATGACCCCAAGGAAACACACAGCACCTTGCAGAATTGTATCTTCAGATCCGTAAGAGCTCATAGGGCTGGGACATACCTCCTGAGATGCAGGACTGGACTCTTATTTTATTTTATTTTTTTAAAGATGACCGGTAAGGGGATCTTAACCCTTGACTTGGTGTTGTCAGCACCACGCTCACCCAATGGTCCAACCGGCCATCCCTATATGGGATCCGAACCCGGGGCCTTGGTGTTATCAGCACCACACTCTCCCGAGTGAACCACAGGCCATCCCAGGACTGGACTCTTAGATTCTGCTTCTTTGGGCTCTCCCAGACCTACCCAGGCCACTGGAGTGGGTCTAGAGAAATGACGAGGATGGAGAGGAGACACTGCAAACTAGCATGTATAAGAGGAACCCAAGAGCAGGGCAGACCCCAGTGGGATAAAGGTGTTTGTTACCTGCAAATCTCTGGAGAGTTGTCATAGAACAGAGGGAAGAGATGTCTTTGGGGGCGCCAGAAGGCAGAGATTCTAGGAATGGGGTTGTGCTTATGCATCCACCCATCTGCCCATCCATCCCTTAGTAAACCTTGCTCTATGCTGGGCATAGAGGATCAACAACGGACAAGATGGGCAAAGTCCCTGTCTTCACAGGGCATGGGGTGAGGTTGCGGGGAGTGAGGGTTAGACAAATCAACAGACTTAAAATACAGAGGACTCAGTGCTACCACGTGGCAACATGCAGGTGAGTGGGTACGGGAGCATGGAGAAGGGGTGCCTAACAGTTGAAGAGACCAAGGAAGGTGTTCCACAGAGGTGGTGACTAAGGAGATCCTGAAGGATGGGTAGGATTTAGCCAGGGAGACAGACTATGGCTCAATTAAGGAAAATAATCAGATGGAATAGGTTATCTTGGGCAGGTCTGGCCTGCTGTGTGCACTCAACCAGCGCAGGCCACTACGAAGCAGTCTCACTTCCCGATTCCTCCCCACCCACAGAAGACCTAGGATGGGTGTCCTGTTCCTCCCACTCCTGCCTCTAGAGGACTTGGAAGGAGGCTGTGCGTGTCCCAGCTATTTCTTCTGCTATCTATCCCCTAGCTAACAGCCCTCCCCACACCTCTGCTGCCTACAAGCTCTTAACGTTTGATAGTGAACTTTCACCTACTGGGTCTTAAGAAGCATCACCACTCAGAGCCTCGATTCCTTTTGTATTAAATGGGGGCAATGACCTCACCAAGTCAGGGTTTAATGTATAATTGATGACACTTAAGATGACTTTAGGTGGCAAAGGGATGTATCAAAATACTTGCAGTTATGCTGGTTAGGCTAAACGATAACAAATGACCCCAAGTGTCTAGCTTCAGCAGAGGTTTATTTGCTTGTATGCATCCATCAGCTGCCAGGCACCTGGGGCTCTGCTCTGTGTCAGCTTCACACCAGGACCCAGGCTGATGGCGGCAGCCCCACTGACACACAGCTGTCTAGTGGCACAGGGCGACGGGATCAGGGCAAGTCTTGCTGGCTCTTAAAGCTTCTGCCTGGAAGTGACACTTGACCATTTATGCCCACACTCACTGGCCAGGTAAGTCACATGGCCACTCTTGATGTCAATGGGGCAGGGGATGTAATTCTCCCTGGGAGGGGCAGCAACTATTTTGAGTAATAATCTACCACAGTCAGTGAATATTTCCATCTTAATAGTTTATTTTAATGTGAATTAGAAAAAATTAGCTTTTCATTTATAGTAGTGATATAAAAATCTTTTTAGTTCAGGAGAGAAGATGTGTTCCTGGATGAGATCCTGGAATGAAAAAAGTACACTAGGTAACGTTTAAGGAAATCCAAATAAACTATGAGCCTTAGTTAGTAATAGCATGCCAATATTGGTTCATTAACTTTGACAAATGTACATTACTAATATGTTAATAGTAGGGAAATGCTGGGTTGGGGAGGGTAGTATGGGAACTCTGTATGGTCTGCTCAATTTTTCTGTATGTCTAAGACTCTTCTAAAAAATAAAATTAATTAAAAAGAAGATAAGCAGACAAGAAAAATATAGGTACTAACCTCTCAGATGACATGTGGACATGGCAAAAATTGTAAGATGCTGAGTAAGTGACTGAAGTTGGGAAATGAGTTCATGGACCTGAGGGAGGGATTGTTACTGTTGAGCTTCACAAAGTCCCACAGGATGGGCAGGACTGGAAGTACAACCTCTGATTGACACATGAGGACACTGAGACCCTGAGAGAGATGCAGCCCTTCCAGCTTTGAACCTGGAACTGTCTGGGAACAAGCTGAAGTGACAAGATGGTCCCTGGGATCCTCCTGCCTCCTTCAGAGGAAGGTGTGGGTCGGTAGCCCTGGGGAAGGTGGAGCAGTGCCAGCCTGCATCTGCCACCTGGGAACTCCAGAATATACCCAGACCAAGGAAAGGCCCCCCAAAAGTGCCTCTTAAAATATAGAACTTTATTTTGATTATTGAGATTTTCATAAGCACTTGGTTCACAGAAAAATCATTTCTTATGAAATAATAAAGGCAGCATTTTGTACAGCGACTCACATTGGGGTCACTAAACAGAAGTGCACGGGACAGTGCTAGAGATCGGAGGGGCCAGCGCTCTTGTGCCCAAGGTCCTCAGAGAGAAGCCAGTGCTCCTGGCTGCCTCTACCCCCTCCCACGCCACCCAACAGAGCAGCACCTGGGGCCTGACAGAACCAACCCAGGAAGCCATCCCGCCAAGTACAGGACAGCAACCCCAACAGGCTGGTGAAGGCCCCACATGAAAGGTGAGTGGGAGGGGGATTGTTCAAGCTGAGCGGGCCCTGCATCCAGCCCCCTTCCTCAAGCAGTGGGGTCCTAGCCCGCCTGGCTCTGGAACCCTGATACATTCACAGTATAGTTCAGTAAAGCCCGCTGGGTGCTGGCCTTCTTCTCTCTCAGGACACTAACCCTAGCTCTGCCCTGGGCTGGGATCTGGAGACAAAGAGACAGCGAGATGTGGCCTTACCTTCCGGGAGCTCACAGGCAAGTGGGTGCGACAGGGTATGGACCTAGTTAGCTCCAAAACAAGGCAGAAAGTGCCCAGTACCCTGAGAGGGAGCAGAGAAAGGGCTTCTGAGGCCCAGAGAGGAGAGCACTGTCACCTGGGGGAGGAAGAGGAAGGCTGTGTGGAGACGGCAGTGCCTGAGCTAAAACTGGAGGAGTGGGTGGGGTCTGGACACATGGAGATGGTAGAAGGGCAAGCCAGGAAGAGGAAAGAGACAAGCCAAGGCACAGAGTGGGGAAACGTGGGGTCAGTAAAGGCAGGTGACCGCCATAAGAACATGGATACATGTGAGGGGCCCGAGGCAACTCCCTGTGCCCAGGCTGGTGCCCAGGAGGGGAGCTGAGGTGGGTGCACTCAACGTGGGATTTGAATCTTCCTTCTGCAGCAGGCACGAAACCAACGCCTTCCTGAGTTTGGGAGCTTCTTGAGGATAGAGCGGAGCCTCATGCATCCCTGCACCGCCCAGTATAGCTCCTGCCTGCACACCTGAGCCACCTACAGGAGACTCCTCCTGTTGTCAGCATGTCCCTTCATCATCCATGGGGCAGCCTTTCAGAGGGGCTCCCTGACCCAAGCCCCTTCCTCCCTCACAGGTCCCTGGCCAACTCTAAGAGGACTGTGTCCTTAAGTAAATCAAACTCAACTCTGGCCTCCAGAGGCTGGGAGCTGGGAGGGTGTTGTGGGCCCCTGGAGGGTTCAGGGCTAGGAAAGGGGAAATTCTGGACTCTTGTCTCTCTCTACGCACTGCAATCACTTTCCTCCCTCAGGAGTAAATCTGCTCTTCCCTGAGAAGAGTTGGGGTTTGAAGTGCGTAAGACGCAGTTCCTTGTAACTCAAAGAAAATCCTGACCAAAAGCTTCACGTATCGTTTGAGTCTCCCCAGCTCTTCTTAATCTCTGCAAGAGCTTGAGAGACTGGAAACCCACCAACTTCTGTTCCTTTTTCTCCTTGAAAAAAAAAGCCCAAGTTCCTTCCTGGGGAAGGCTATGGAGCTGAAGAGTTTGGAGGTACCTTGTTCTTGGTTCCCAGGAGGCCTGGGACCTGTTTGTTCGGGGGTGGGGGTGAATAGGAGGAGGGGAGGGGCCGGGAGTCTTCTCAGGCACTGCTTCCATCCCAAAGGCCTTCACGTCAGCTCTGCCGAGCGCCCATCATGGCCTGCACCTGAGGCGGATCCCCATCTTCACAGAATGGTGCAGAAGACGCTGCGGTTGCTGTGGTAACCACCTTCCACCCGCGCTGTGATCCTGGTTGCCATGGCTGTCATCTTCTGCCCATTGTGGGTTGCAGAGGGGCCTCTGAGGGAGTTTTCAAGGTGAGGCCGTGCTGGTGGGTTCACCAGGCGCCACGTATCGGACCTGTAGGTGTAAAACAAAGTCAGTGAACTCTGGGAGGCCTACAGCATTTGCTGAATGCCCTGTGCAATACTACCTTTGGCTTCAGATCATTGGATCCAGGTGTTTAAGCTGGGTGTAGGTTTTGCCTCTCAAGTTAGTGTTAGCCCAAAGAGGTGGGATGTGTGAAATGAAGGGGCAAAAGTCCTGTGTTCTATGTCCAGCTCTGCCTTCAGTTCTACATGTGACCTTGGACAAGTTCCCTCTATGGGCCTCAATTTCTCCATCTTTAAATAAGGATCTGGATAAGATCAGTGACTTTCTTTTTTTCTTTCATTTTCTTTTTTTTTGTCCCCAGCTGTTGACCATGAATGTTTATAGAAGCTTTATTCCTTATCACCAGAAATTAGAAACTACCCAAATGCCCTTCAGCAGATGAATCGATAAACAAGCTGTGTGGTACATCCATACAATGGAATACTACTCAGCAATAAAAAGGAACAAATGAGTCACATGCAACATCATGAATTAATCTCAAACATGCTAGGCTAAGTGAAAGAAGCCAGACTCAAAAGACTGCACACTGTATGATTTCATTTACATGACATTCTGGAAAATGCAAATCTAGCTGGGATAGAAGTTGGTGGGTTTGTAGTCACTCAAGCTCTCAGAGAGATTATGAAGGGTCAGGGAAAATGAAATGATGGTGAAGCTTTGGTCAGGGTTTTCTGTTGTTTGAGTTACAAGGAACTGCCTACCACATCTCAAGTCACTTAAGGCATCAACAATGTCTTACGTGTATTGTTATGATAACAATGTTACAATGAGAGACTTGCAAAGGTGTGGAGAGAGCCAGAGGTAGGCTACTGCAAGGTGAGTAAAAGCCTACAGGTAGACTGAAAGAACTGTGCGTGTCTGAGTTTGGCAGCGGGAGAGTGTTCCCAAAAAGGGTAATGAAAAGAGAAGGCTGGAAAGGAAAATTAGGACCCAAGAGTGCACAGTAGATAGACAGTGCCAGGTTGATAAGTCTGGGCTGTATCTTATAACTATAACCTCGGGGTCTGCAAAAAGGGGAGAAGGATGTGGATCCCAGGGAGTCCACAATATGATCTGTGGGGATATGGAAGAAAACATTAGAATTTCTATTTTTTATTTTATATTAAAAAATTTTCTATTTAGGAGATAGTTTATAAAGTAAATAATATACTGACAGAATAATATACATATATAAATTATGAATAAATAAACATACCTAT